AGACCGTGAGGAAGGGAGCTGCCCACGTGCGAAAGAATGAAATGATGGGTCGTGCTTTCTGCCAGTCCTTGGTCGGCTTTGGAAGGATGCGAGCTGTGGGCAACGGTGCTTGAAGTCGAAGTCCCCATGCATATCGCTGACGTAGGAGGGAAGGTACCGTAGTCACCACTTCAGAGCGAAAAGATGCTGCGGATTCACGGCATAGCGAAAAGACATCTCCCGAGCAAAAGGTCTTCCGCATCAGTATGGCAAACAGGGACGGACAAATCACATGTGCGCGGGAGGGGAAATGATCCGCGGGGATTACAACCCACGATGACAGAGAAGCCACGGTGCGCTGCAACGATGTCGATGACCAATAAGCACGATCTTGAAGGTTAGCTCGATGAGTGTCCATCAACTGAGTCAAAACCGGCTGCAGATCAACAAGAAGACTGGAACCATGCACATGCCAGCGACGAGCAAGTTTGCGAAGTTGCGTAGTGAAACGTTGATGTAACAAGTCGACATCACCGAAATACTGATCCTTCATTGACGCGGCCATGATTTCCATGTCAATGTCCGCATTGATGCGTGAGAACTCATCAACCATTACAGCATGTCCATGTGCTCGGTGTATATGGTGATCATCGATGTCCAAACAGCGACACGGAAAAGATGTTTCAGGAGTCCATCTGCGCTGCCATGTGCGGTAGTTGTAGATCTTGTCGCCCAACGTGGCACTGCGAGTTTCCACCACCCGGATCTTTGGAAGGAAAAGGGAGGGAAACAAATCACGATGAGAAGCAATCCAGCTTTGTAACCATGTGCCAAGTAGAGCTTTCCAATTCCGGACATGTAGAGGCGGTAGGAGTAGTTGTGTCAAAGTGGTGGGTGATTGTAGCTGTCGTTTGCGTAACACCTGGGCGAGGAGTTTCTGCGCCTTGGAGCGGAAGGGCTCGTTGACAAAGACGGAGAGCCGCAGAAAGTAGTAAAGCTGAGTAGGAGGGAAAGCTGCCGACAGAAGGTCACGCATGGCTTGGAACGATGCACCTGTATTGGATCCCAGCTGATAGAGAATAGAGTAATGGGCCTGAATGTCATCCAGCATGTCGGGACGTAGTTGCCGTTGAAGATCCGGATGTAGTCGTCGTCGAAAGCGTTTGTGCAAGCCGAGGGAAGTGGGAGACGACAACGAGTGACGTCGAAAATCAACGAGGTGTTCCCGGAAGCCCACCTTTCGCAGAAGTCTGTGTACCCAGGGTGCATTCAAATGCGGGCGTAGCAGGTATTGCCATTTGCTTTCCTGGACCCAAACCGAGGAAACGGGAAGTTTGATCTCAACCGGAACAGCACAGAAGAGCCAGTAGGTATTGGATCGCTTCCAGTAGTGAAGCGCGGGTTCGAAGAAGGCATGACGTCCCCGAAGTAGTTGTAGAAATTTGCGACTGCGTGAGTGTTCACGTCGTAGAACATCCTGATCAGTCGCACCAACGTAGTAAGGTGTGTGCCATGGGGAAAGTCGGATGTAGACGCACGGTTGTTGATGATGACCTGGATCGTGAATGAAGTCATAGAGGTCCGGAAATCGTGCCCGCAATGAGCGAAGATGTCGCGTGTCGGCAAAAGTGGAGTGCATAATTTCACACAAGAGAGAAGCCTTGTAGAAGTGAAGGACTTCAAAGAACGGCGGAAAGTAGCCATGATCTTGGGAAATGAGACGTTGTAAGAAACTGATCAATAAATAGGCAGTGCACCGACATCTATGAATCTCATACCTGTTGGCCACAGTGTGTTGAGAGTGTGACATAGCGTGATTCGGAATCTGAAGGGCAATCCGGACCACAACTAAGACTTCCAGAATGAGGCCCAACCACGGTAGTTGTGTGATTGATTCGTACTCATCAGCTGGTATCGACGGTGGTGGTAGTCCAGGGAAGCAGTATTGCCAGCACGTAGAGAACATGGTCAACGAGTGTAAAAAGTTGCCCAGAGACTGCCATTGTGCAACATCATCATAGATTCCACAGCGGCGAAGCTCATCCAACATGGTGAAAATGCAACCAATGAAATCTACCATAAGGCGGCGACATGGATACAAGCTGCACAGACAATCACGCACAAGGCAATGCAAGCACAACCAAGCACAAGATCAAACTGATGCAACGCAAAAAGATGACGGACGAGTTTTAACCTTGACTCATCCGTGACACGGTTGCCGCTCCGGGCTCATAAGAGAACGAAGGTCGTTAAGATGCCTGCTCATCCGCTGAGTAAGCGAGCGGTCACGATGAGGTGACTCAATGCCTTCTCAGTGAGCTTGGTGAGATAGCCGGGCTCCAGTCCCCACGAAGCCGCCATCGCCCCGAGAGTAGGTGCGTCGCCTTTCGGCATGCGTTGACGCGCTTGAAGGAGCTGCGTCGCCATGGAATCTAATGACTTGTTGCCGTTGAGCCGGGACGGGTGATTGGCCCACTTGACCAGTGACGTCAAAGTTGTGGTTGTGGGCGATTGCTTGAGATAAAGGCGTGGCTGGTCACTGGTCCATGTGTAGTACTTGACAACTTCTTCCGGCGTGCTGTGCATGGTGAGCAATTGTGACGCCGCCGGCTTGGACGGCGGTGAAGACACTCCGTGAAGAGACTGAATGATCCGGGGTTGCACCGCGCTATCAAACGACTTGCCATCAAGGGCCGCTGCGCTGGCTGTAGGGAGGGAGCTGGCAGGTGACGAGGATTGTGTGTGGTTGACCGGTGGCGGTGTAACCAACTCTGCATCATCTTTCTGGCTTGCCATCGTGGGAGAGGTCGAAGCGCGCAGCGATGCTGAATACTGAGCCTGGAGCAGCTCATGCGCACGATTTAGATCATTGTACTTCTTGACCATGTCATCTGTCTGGGTGGAAGGTGTGAGAGAAGCGTGGTGTTGCTGAAGAAATTGAAGTACCAAGCTGGCCAAATGGTCATGAACCTTGATCCGCTGATTGAAGTCATCGATGTTGAGACCCAGCGAGTTGGCAAGGTCCTTTTCCAGGGTGAGCAGGTTGATCGACTGTGATCGTCGTAGTAGTTTGGAACAGGTACTCCAAAGTAAGGCCTCGGTGCGAGTGCGAAAGCCTTCCCATGTCACGAATCTGCCGTGAGCGAACGGTCGGAGCAGCCAGTTGGTGAGGCCCCCATGAATAACCTGAACCAGGCGAACGTCACGAATATCCATGCCTGACATGTCGCGCAGGTTGCCATGCGGAGTGTTGGCAACGGTCATGGGCAGGCTGAAGTTGTAGAGCTGATTGACATCAAACATGCCCTCTCCAGGTGTCCAGTCAGGCGATGGTGTAAGCCAGGCTTTCTGAGGACGAACCGGTAGAGCCGCAGGAGGTCCAGGTGGCGGTGTAGGTTGCGGGGTAGTGACCGGTGGTGGCATCACGGGTGGCATGAACTTCGTTGGCGTGGGGTCTGGAGGGATCGGCATCATGTAGTTGATTGCTGGATGTTGGAATTGCTGTGTGGGACTATGAGTCGATTGAAAATTGGTGGGCATCATCGGGAAATTGTTGGCAGAGTTGTAGCCGGAATTGTGTTGCCAAGATACCAGGTTGTTCCAATCCATGCCTTCCGAGACGTGGTGGTCATTGTGTTCACGTCGGTGTGCTTTACGAGCCTGAGGAGAAGTACTCCGATCACGTCTGCGCCGAGTCCTGGATCTATCACGATCATCACGTCGAGACATGGTTACACAATCGACTCTCAATCTTCACGCTTCCATCTTGAGAGACACGTATCAGACAACAAGCAAATCCATGCAACGGCAAGGTATCAACGAATCCAACAAATGGCAAGCAAACGCAAACATCAGTGGTGAGACGTCTCTATGATCTGACCGCTGTCTTCCCTTTAGTGAAACCTCGTTCCTGGTTAAATGTGAAATTCCGCTGTTCTATGATAAGCACGTTGAGGTCAAATTTTCCGACAGAGCCGGCCCGGGGTCACACAATGGGTACACCCGAGGATTCCCCACGAATGGGGTGTACACACTTAAACTCCAAATGGAGAGTGCTAATCTTTCGAGTACAACTGATGAGTCTCGAGTACAACTGATAAGTCTCGAGTATGATGAGGTTCGACTCGCATAACGCTTGGCTTCCCTGTAGTTACTTTAACAGGGACACACAGAAGCAACGGCAGTTCAGGGGGGGACCAAAAGGACATTCAGAACAACACAACCATCTCGGCAGGTACGTCTGACTGATCAGGTCAGATATCAGCGCAGGTCACGACCCTCTTCGTTGGGTCACCGGTCGTGACTGCGGGTGACCCCCCTGCTGAGAAACCGAAAGGGTGGTGACAGGGCATTCTGTCACTCCGCACACACACACAAACACACAAACACACAAACACACAAGCACACAAACACACAAACACAAACACACAAACACACAAACACAAACACGCAAACACACAAACACGCAAACACACAAACACACAACACACAAACACACAAACACACAAACACACAAACATGCAAACACACAAACACACAAACAAATAAACACACCAACACACAAACACACAAACACACAAACACACAAACACACAAACACACAAACACACAAACACACAAACACACAAACACACAAACACACACACACACACACACACACACACACACACACACACACACACACACACACACACACAGAACCCCGCAAAACTACAAAAACCCCACAAAACCCCGACAAAAACCCCAAGACCCTTACAAAACGTACAAAGCCCACAAAACCCTACAAAACCTTACAGAACCCCCTTACAAAACTCCCTTACAAAACCCCCTTACAAAACCCCCTTACAAAGCCCTTACAAAGCCTTGCAAAACCCCACAAAACCCTTACACAGCCCTACAAAAACCTACAACAACCTACAAAAACCTTACAAAAATCCCACAAAGCCCCACGAAAATCCTGCAAAAACCCCACGGAAATCCCACAAAACCCCACTCCTCGTTCTCCCAAAACGCGCGGACGCCTCAGGCGGTGCTTGTTGAGCTGCGCAAAGAGGCCCAGCGCGCGGCTCCAGGGGCCCTCCTCGCCTCTCGCGACGAAGGGCTTGCCATGGGCTTGACACCTTTGGATGGCGGGTCTGGTTCAAGGGTTCGAACACCCCCAAAAAGGATTGGCTTCTTTAGGCAAAAGCATGGGCTTTTCAAGCCCAAAAGGATGTTTGTTTGTTTGTCTAATTTAAAAAAAAAAAAAAAAAAAAAAAAAAAAACTTTCAGCAGTGAAATCGGTTCCCTTGAAAACCAACCAGGGGACAATGAAAAACAAGATCTTCCTTTCAGCACACGGAGCTCCAATGCCGGTCCGAGTCTCCCTCTGCAAATCAAATATCGGGGCGCCTCGCTGACAATTTTTTCCGAAGCCTCAAGGCCCAGGATGCCACCAGTTGAGTCACAATCAAAGAATCAACCCCTAGAGCTCCATCCTTTGGCACGAGATGGAATCTATGTCTCAGGACAGGTCACCCGCCATTTCGAGAAAGCCCTTGGTGGATCTGTGTCAAGATGGGCCTTTCAAGGCTTTGGGATGGTCTTTTGGTGTGGCTTTCTTCTTGAAACCACCAAAAACGGGGCACCACACTCGTTTGGGAAAGGATTCAATGCCTCGTTCTTCCCACTTGAGAAAAAAGGAAAAAAGCACGGAATACTGTAAAGTGGTCCGGGTTTGACTGCCCCCCCATTGCAGAAATGGCCTTGCGACCCAATTTAGATGATGACACCTTAGGAAAACGACGATGACTACGCTAACCCAACCTTGTTTCAACTATGGTAACACCCCGTATCCTTTTGGGAAAATTGATGGCAGGTTGAAGGAGAATAAAAAACACCTATGTGATCCTTTTTTGGTTGATCCTTTTTTGGGGGCCGGGAGAGTGAGGGGGGGCCAGGGCCCGCTTGGAGCTGGGGAATATGAAACTCCCAGGGCCTGGAGCTTGAGACCAACCATGGATCTGGCGCTTCTTCGTTGCTCAGCCCCCAGCCTTTTTGGCTTTTCCGGCTCTTTCCAGCTTTTTGGCTCTTTCCAGCTTTTTGGCTTTTTGGCTTTTTGGCTTTTTGGCTTTTTCTTCGTTGCTGGTTTTCCGTTTTCGAAGCTCTCACAAGAATGAGCTGAACCTTTTTGTGTGCTTTCCTTTGGGGGATCCGATCCGACTTTCTCCCAACTTCTGATTCCCTAGCATGGGCTGAACGCATTCGTGCAGGTTGGGACGGTTATGCACTCTTAGGGAATTTGGGTGTCCTTTTTGGGGAACCCTCAAAATGGTGGTGCTCCTTTAGTATCCCCTTAAAACCACCCCAAGAACGGGCTCCCTCCAACAAAAAGACACCATGTTTCCCCGCTGAAACATCGTGTCATTGTTTGAGGCTCGGAACCCAATTTCTTGGGTGGTTCAAACAGGAAACCAAACGAAACACTGAATCCATGTGTTAGGGCGATACACACCCAAACACATGAGTACAGAAGGGTGGAAAACAACTGCAGATTTGCCAGATGCCAGCATACGTACCCAGCTGATGGATAACCAGGGACTTATCCCACACATATCGCCATACTTACCAGGGTACATCATGTTCTCCCCCTCATTAAATACCCCCCAAGTTATTCCCCAAAAAAGGAAAGGAAGCCCCACACCAACCCTGTCTCAGCCTTTCGCTTGACCAGAGGATCACAAACCATCAGAACCTTCATGCTGAGGATCCGGCAGACGTTCATCACAGAGCTGCACAAGGACAAATCCAAGGCCAGGCCGTCACTCAGAGCACCTCCCAACGCACGAGAGGCGTCAAGCCACGGCCGCGTCAAAACCCATGGCATGTTGACCCAGGATTCGTGGTCCCCCTCTGTATTAAATTATGGGGGTGTTCAACTGGATTTAGTGGCTGGATTCAGACCACTTTTGAAGGGGGACAGCCCCATATTCATAAACAGGTTTTTTTCTAATCCTGGGCCAACCTGTGTTTGCTGTAAGCAAATAACAAAAAGACTCTGGCTGTCTCATGCTGGCTCTCAGGGAATCAATGAGGGTGAAAATGAACCCTATCCCTTCGGAGAACCAACCTCACCCGGGCCGTCCGTTGTCAGATCCGAGACTTCACGAGCAGTTCACTGAAGCTTCACCAAGCCTCGGCCCTTGGGGCTTGGAAGAACAACTTCGCCAACTCCCACACCGTCTAACTGAGATCCCCCGCGAAAAGTTGAAAACTTTTTAGCAGGCCAAGTGGAATCTAAGGGTTGTTGTATTACACCCTGGGAATACACCCACTGGGTATTGACCCCATTTAGGCACATGTCCAACTTTCACCCGTGCTATTGGGTAATCCCAGGGTGTAATTCAAAAACCCTCAGATGGAAACTACCGCTAGACCAACTGAAAGCCTAACAAGCTAAGGAACCGGACGCCTGAGAACCACCACGTGCTATGGCGCTCTCATGGGTTTTCATGGTTTCCCCTTTCCTTTTGCTTTTTGGCTGTTTGCGCTGTTTTCGTTGCCTTGCCTTCTGCCTTGTTTCTGCGTCTCCGAAATCCTCCGGAAGAGATCGGGCGAAATCCCCAACACCCGCTGAGGGAAGAAACACCCGCTGAGTCTTACAAACATCTGTATGCACCGTCAAAAAGGCGCTGGCTCAAAAAGCTTGAGGTGTTTTGTTGTTGTTTGTTTTTGTTTTTTACCATCCCCGGCATCCCCAGCATCTCCGGTTACTTGTCAGGGCTGCGTATCAGGCATGACTTGATGGTAGTTGACAGTTGCTCGGGCTAGCCGGCCGCATCGCTAGCATTACTGGCCTCACTCGGACTAGAGCTGCCTATTGGCTTTGATTTGGTGGCAGTTCAGGGTTGCTCGGGGCGAGTGTTGGGCTTGCTGAGGTCTTAATGAGGGCGGGTCTTGGATTTGTTTGGGGTTCATGTAGGCTCGGCAAAGGGCTGATATGTAGGATATGGTTATGCAAGTTTTGGGCTGGTTTGGGATTGGTTGTGGAGCGTTGCCCCAAGACTCCTCCCAACCGCATCCTGCATATCAGCACTTTGCCGAGCCTACATGAACCCCAAACAAATCCAAGACCCGCCCTCATTAAGACCTCAGCAAGCCCAACACTCGCCCCGAGCAACCCTGAACTGCCACCAAATCAAAGCCAATAGGCAGCTCTAGTCCGAGTGAGGCCAGTAATGCTAGCGATGCGGCCGGCTAGCCCGAGCGACTGTCAACTACAATCAAGTCATGCCTGATACGCAGCCCTGACAAGAAACCAGAAATGCTGGGGATGCCGGGGATGCCGGGGATGCCGGGGATGCGGCCGCTTAGCCGACCAACCAACCAACCAACCCACCAACCAGCCTCCTAGCCGGGGTTAAGCCCCGAGCCGGGGCTAGACAAAAAGCGACACCGGTTCCGCTCAAAAACATGCACCAAATGGCTGGCTGGCTGTTTAATTTTGACCCACACCCAAAATGTGCGGAGGTCATCTGCTTGAAATGCAATAGGTTCCCACTGCTCGGCTTCAAGGTTGGGAACGCAACCAAGAGCCCATGTAGTGCATGCTTTCCCACACACACACACACACACAAAAACAAAAAACAAAAAGGACACCATCTGGGCGGCGGGGCGGAAGCGGGGAAACATATCAAGCCTGGGTCGCAGGTGCGCAGGGCTTCCTTTCCAAGTCAGGTGAAGAATGCGACTTGTGTTGCCTCATGCCGCTGCGACGCGACCCGTTGATCGGGTCGCAACTTGCAGCCGTGGTTGCCATGGGCAAATGAGTGAATCGATTTTGTTCTCGGGGCAATCTAGCTATGGCTGGGGCTTTCGCTTCACGACCCCCGAATCGATTGCATGAGGTTGGTCAACATGTCGAGTGGTCTGTGGGTCATTTTGGAAGGACATCGGAACTAAGTAAGGCGTACCGGGCTGGTTTAAACGCAAACCAAGCGAAAGCCCTTATATGGCGGGTTCGCCTACTTTGACACCCGAAACTCACTAATGTTGACCCCGTGTTAGTAAACAGGCTTCTTGTTCTGAGGGGTTTGGGTTTCCCTGGTTTTAGTGAGGGTTCATCACTTTTGGAGGGGCACACCCCCATATTAATAAGCTGGGTTTTGTGGGAACCGCCAAAAGTTCCTAATTGTCTGATGTCCAAAAGGCAAAGGGAGGGTCTGGTCCCTTCAAACTCGAGCGCTTGACGAAGCCTGGCGGCCAACTATCACATGCGGAGATGTCGCACGTCAAAAGATGCGGCTTGGTGACTTCAACCCCGCAAACATTCCAAAAGAAAATCTAAACAACGAAGCCATGGCCAAAAAAAACTGTGTCCCTTTTCTTAAAAAAAAAAAAAAAAAAAAAAAAACGCGCACACACACACACACACACACACACACACACACACACACCAGCTCCAAGGATCAAGCTCCAAGGACCCAACACGAAGCGCGGCCTCGCGCCTCCAAGCAAGTCAAAGGCCTGCCCCCAGTTGCGGCCGCTCTCCTCGGCGCGGTCCAAAAGTCGTAGGACCCAACGCTCCCCGCAGCCCGAAACCCCCCTTTTCCCCCCCAATGCTTGGCGGCGTGGTTTTGTTCCGTTTTTTCTCTAGCTCCTCCAGTACAGAGGTTAGAATGAATCATAGACTCAGCAAAAAGTTGGTACCTTCATTGAAGGTACCAACTTTTAGCTGAGTCTATTTTAGTAGGGGAACCCTCCCAACCAAAAAGGGGAAAGAAGGGCACTACTGGGGGACCTAGGCGAAACTCTTCTCCGAGACCCTGGCTGCTTCTTACTTTCCGGTTCTACTTGGTTGACGTTGGAAGGGGAGCAAAGATTCAAATTTGAGCAGTTCAGTGGATTTGGTTTTCAACCGCTAAACCACAATAAGCAAAATGTAAATGTTAAAAAAAAAAAAAAAAAAAAAAAAAAAAAAAACATGAATGGTGGTGGGAAAGTTTGACCTGGTGAGACCAAAGCGCTGGATTCCCCCAAACTTTGTCTCGTCGGGTCTCCGATCTTCCGGTCTTCGCGCTGAAAGTGGCCCAGAAAAAACAATTTTCCACGTACGACGGATGGCCCCTTGGCCCTGGGCGGTACCCATCTGGATAACTTGATTGATTGGGGGCATGGAGCGCGGGAATTCCAATGTGCACCTTGGCACAGCGAAGTGAAACGACAAGATGAGGACTGCTTCAAGAAGAAAGATGGCAAACGAGCATCCAATGTCGGCTAAAGCTTATCCAGCATACGCTTTGCTTTGCAGCGAGAATATCGGCACAACTCCCAATACGCGCCAGTGCTCAAGCTGTTCAGAAACTTTGACAATACACTTTGCATGCTGTTGAAGAAGTTGCAACCTCTGCCTACACCCACATGAATAAGAGCAGAGCGCGCACGTAGGCACGGAGAGAGCCCAGTCAGTGTTCCAGGCATGTAAGTCAGAGTGGCCATTGAGCCGACATTCCCACAAAGACTTGATAGAAACCCCATCTAGTAATGGTGCCACGAAACTGAGTCGTGGCGGCCGTCACTGCCACACGGATGACTTGTCCATGAAGAGGGCCCCAGGCCGCGAAATCGTTTCAATGGATGGAGAGAGCAAGTGCTGCTTGATTTCCCGCGCAATGTGAGCAGAGTGCGGGTCTCCTGACGCCGAACCCCACCAAGCGCGGGAAAACGTGTGGGCCGCAATCACGACTCTCATAGGAACCTGGCCCTCCATTTGCTTGAAGCCGTCTGGAAAAGAAAAAAACATATGTCCAGCAATCCGCGCACTCTCCCGGCTCTCCCGAACTCTCCGTCGGGTTCCCCGGCGCAGGCCGCCGCCACCGCGCCCAGGGCCGCCAGCGACACGCGCAGCCCGCGGCGCCGCATGGCCTCCAGGAGGCCGTGGCTCGAAGGACGCGGCTCGCGGGGAGGCGGGCGGTGGTGTGAAGCCAAACCGACCGACCAACCAAACAAAGAAACAAAGAAACAACCAAACAAAGAAACAAACAAACAAACAAAGAAACAAAGAAAGAAACAAATAAACAAAGAAACAAACAAACAAACAAAGAAACAAAGAAACAAAGAAACAAAGAAACAAACAAACAAACAACCAAACAAAGAAACAAAAAAACAAAGACACAAAGAAAGAAAGAAAGAAAGAAAGAAAGAAAGAAAGAAAGAAACAAAGAAAGAAACAAATAAACAAAGAAACAAAGAAAGAAACAAAGAAACAAAGAAACAAAGAAACAAAGAAACAAACAAACAACCAAACAACCAAACAAAGAAACAAAAAAACAAAGAAAGAAAGAAAGAAAGAAAGAAAGAAACAAATAAACAAAGAAAGAAACAAAGAAACAAAGAAACAAAGAAACAAAGAAAGAAAGACAGAAAGAAAGAAAGAAATAAAGAAAGAAACAAACAAACAACCAAACAAAGAAACAAAGAAACAAAGAAACAAAGAAACAAACAACCAACCAACCAACCAAACAAACAAACAAGCAAGCAAACAAACAAACAAACAAACAAACAAACAGACAGACAGACAGACAGACAGAAACCAGCCAACCAAGCAAAACCAAACCAAACCGACCCAGAAGGATGGTCATGTCGGGTGCTTGGAAGTGGAACCAAAAGGAAAGGGAATGGAGACCAAGGAACCATTTTTGGAATCGCATTTTTGGCTCCTTTTCGTGCCTGAAAGCCAGAACGAAACCGATGCTCGAAAAAACAAACTCAGGTCGGCCAGTCGAAAGGGTTATTTTCTTTTGGTGAAACAAAACCAGATTTCACTGGAGCATGAACTCGTTCGGGTCGCAAACGCAAACAGACACGCCAGTGGCTTCCTTGTGGATTTCCACGTACTCTTTAGAAGCTCCCTTTAGTGCCACTGCGTAAGTGGGTGTTCCACAACCTTTTTAGGATCTCTTTTGAGCTCGCTTCACATTCTAAGTAAGTACTGCTTGCTGCTGGATTGAATTCTTCAAAGGATTCCAATCCCCGCCCCAACCAACAAAATCGCCAGAACCGGATATGTCTTGGGTGGGGCAAGGACGGACGACCTTCAGGCCTCCGGAAGCCAAAAGCAGCCTTGGGTTCTCAAAATAGAAATCGAAATCCCCAATGGTTTTTGATTCTCGTTTAAACCAACTCGGAAAAGGGCTCCTCAAAAAAGCGTTTTCAGGCGCCCCAGGCCCAGGCTGTATCGAGAGGATCGAACTGCTGGAACCTTCGGTCTGCCAGGTGTCCAAAGAACATGGACCTGTCCATGGTGAGTGACCAGCCGCTCATTTCGTCGCAGAGCAGATGGCTAACAGGTCTCCTTCTCAATATTCTGCGCCACGACAAGATTTGGAGGTGCGCCTGACGTATTCGCGCAAGGGCCGTGTAGGTAGCCCTGATTGACAGAGATAAGATCCTTCCCGACTTCGTTGACCAGCGAACGCGTTTTCAGGAGCATGTCCAGAAAGCTGGCCCCCACAAATCTAAAAACATGCCAACAACAGTGAAGGAATCCATCAAACATATCCTGCACATGAACATGGATGAACCTCCGTTTGAAGGGCCCCCTGGCTTCTTCAATAAAGCTGACGCTCAAACTGAAAGTATGAGGATCCTGGAAGATAGAACTTGTGTTAATGTATTGGTTTGAAAAGCATGGTTTCCGATGCAAAATACATGCAAAGAAGTGGGTATTTGGAGGTTTTGGGGGCAGGATAAGGCAACTACCCACTAGACCAACGGAAAAAGCTGAAAAGCTGAGCCACCACTGAATAATGTCCGCAAAGCAACTTGAGAACACGACGACCATCCCACGCGTTCCCCTGAAACCCCCACCTGACTAACGCGCCCCTCATCCCTTTTCTCCTTTCCCATCTAGCCACAAAGCTCAGAAATTCCAGTCCAACTCCCCATGCCCTGGCCTCCCTTCACAACTTCGGGAAAACACACACACACGAACAATCCCATGAGCCTGCCACTTTGGTCAATCTTGAGAAGATGACCCTTGAACAAATCTATGAATAATTAAACAAGGTCTCTTATACTCTTGACTTAACTTTGTCTTGCCCCACGCTAGCCATCGCACTGGCCCCACCGCTTTCCCTTACCAACCTGACGAACAATCTTCCATGGCCGCACACATGCCTTCAGCACCTCCATTGCAATTTTCAGCTGCCGCGCGCTACGGCAGCCAGAAAGCACCGCGCCGAAGGTCGCTGCCTCGACTGGCTGATTTGTTGCTTGGACTGCCTGTGGCGTGGGGTGGGGTGGGGTGTGGTGTGGGGTGGGTGGGGGTGGGGGGTGGGGTGGGCGTGGGTGGGGTGGGGTGTGGGGTGGGGTGTGGGGCGGGGTGTGGGGTGGGGTGGGGTGTGGGGTGGGGTGTGGGGTGGGGTGGGGTGTGGGGTGGTGTGGGGTGGGGTGGGGTGGATTGATACAAAGTAGCAGACTCAATGGCACACAGAATGATGCCAAGTAGCTGGGGACCGGTGCCGCCCACAGTTGCAGTGGACAAGCATCCGATGGGCCTGGTACATCGTGTTGGCACAGTGCCGAACCTAGATTAAGGTTGACATCTGGATTGTTGGCATCGCCAGCTTGAAAGGAAGCAACCAAAGTGCAACCAAAGCGCTCAGGCGACAGGCACTTGTTTGAGAACAGCTAGTTCGGATTGGCGCGGATGATGCTCGGGCTGTTGTGCGCCGAAGCCAATGCCTGATCTGCCCGCCTCAGTGCGCAGACAGATGGGACATGTACTAGCTTCACTCTGTTGACAATGAGAGGTCAAAATGGGTGCCCAACTCCTCGTCGTACCATGGCTCTGGCCCCACCCAGACGTTGTGCGAGAGCTATGGCAGGGAAGATCACAAGGAATGAGACGGGTGAGACTCAAAGACAATAAAACCGGAATGGTCCGCAATGACCTGCTCAAAGGCCTTCTGGGCATCGATCCTGAGCAAATAAGAGACCGCAGGCCAAGCTCGGCAAAATGTAGCCTGCCATGTGCATATGCTTCTGTACAAGTAACTCCTCCTAACAATGTTCAACCTTGTATGCAGCCTCACCCTTTCCGTCATGTCCTCAGAAATCAGTGAAGTTGGGGCACCTTTTGCAAGGTCTCGCACTCCTGGGTTCAGGAGGAGGCGGCTTGCGCATCTCTTGGAAACTTCTCCTAAAAAGGAAAAGAGTCTGGCATTGCCAACTGCATGCAGGTGGCAAAGCCGGCTCATCGTCATCATCTCTGTTTTCACAACTGAGCTAGGTGCTTGGTTACTGCTCATGCACATATCATGCTGCCACCTTCAACTATCTTTTTGCCAAGAGGCTTGCGTTGGCGCTTCAACATCCTTGGAACGCATGACTCGTCAACATCACATAGCAACCTCTACCATTGAACCGTCCAATCTAACATTTTTTTGCTGACAAGCGTCACGCCTCAACGTGCTCGGCTTCTTCCGCTGGCGCCCCCCCCCTTTGCCAGGGCCATTCTGCACGATGGTCAGCTCCTTGATCGTGCGGTTGTGGAAAGCCATGTGGGGTCGGGGGTGGGGTGGGGTGGGGTGGGGTGGGGTGGGGTGGGGTGGGGTGGGGTGGGGTGGGGTGGGGTGGGGTGGGGTGGGGTGGGGTGGGGTGGGGTGGGGTGGGGTGGGGTGGGGTGGGGTGGGGTGGGTGGGGTGGGGTGGGGTGGGGTGGGGTGGGGTGGGGTGGGGTGGGGTGGGGTGGGGTGGGGTGGGGTGGGGTGGGGTGGGGTGGGGTGGGGTGGGGGGTGGGGGGGTGGTGCGGGGGCGGGACGGGTGTGGTGAGGTTAGCAGGAGGGATAGGAAACACTGACACTGAGACACTGACGCTGACACTGACTGTGGCTGGCTGTGGCTGTGGCTGGCTGTGGCTGGGCTTTCTGGCTGGGCCTGCCTGCCTGCCTGCCTGCCGGCCGGCCGGCCGGCCGGCCGGTTGGTTGGTGGCTTGCTCGCTCGCTCGCTTGCTCGCTCGCTTGCGTGCTTGCTTGCTTGCTTGCCTGCCTGCCTGCCTGCCTGGCCTGGCCTGGCCTGGCCTGGCCTGGCCTGGCCTGGCCTTGCCTTGCCTTGCCTTGCCTTGCCCTGCTTGCTTGCCTGCCTTGATTCGACCCGGGCAAAGCAAACAGACCCAAAAGGTCCCCGTCGAAAGGGAAATTAAAAGGCCTCCGATGTAGTTTGCTGCGGTCTGTTTTCCTACCTGGCCACAGCTTCTTTCGGTGTGAAGGGTTGTTCGACATTCATGCTGGACCTTCGCCACATGTCGGCACCAACCGGGATTCATGGATGGATGGATGGATGGATGGATGGATGGATGGATGGATGGATGGATGGATGGATGGATGGATGGATGGATGGATGGATGGATGGATGGATGGATGGATGGATGGATGGATGGATGGATGGATGGATGGATGGATGGATGGATGGATGGATGGATGGATGGATGGATGGATGGATGGATGGATGGATGGATGGATGGATGGATGGATGGATGGGGATGGATGGATGGGATGGATGGGATGGAGGGATGGAGGGATGGAGGGATGGAGATGGATGGAGATGGATGGAGATGGATGGAGATGGATGGAGATGGATGGAGATGGATGGAGATGGATGGAGATGGATGGAGATGGATGGAGATGGATGGAGATGGATGGAGATGGATGGAGATGGATGGATGGATGGATGGAGATGAATGGAGATGGATGGGATGGATGGAGATGGAGATGGAGATGGAGATGGAGATGGACATGGACATGGACATGGAGATGGAGCTGGAGATGGAGATGGAGATGGAGATGGAGATGGATGGATGGATGGATGGATGGAGATGAATGGAGATGGATGGGATGGATGGAGATGGAGATGGAGATGGAGATGGAGATGGACATGGACATGGAGATGGAGCTGGAGATGGAGATGGAGATGGATGGATGGATGGAGATGGATGGAGATGGATGGAGATGGATGGAGATGGATGGAGATGGATGGAGATGGATGGAGATGGATGGAGATGGAGATGGAGATGGATGGATGGAGATGGAGATGGAGATGGAGATGGAGATGGAGATGGAGATGGAGATGGAGATGGAGATGGAGATGGAGATGGAGATGGATGGATAGATGGATGGATAGATGGATGGATAAATGGATGGGATGGGATGGGATGGGATGGGATGGGATGGGATGGGATGGGATGGGATGGGATGGGATGGGATGGGATGGGATGGGATGGGATGGGATGGGATGGGATGGGATGGGATGGGGTGGGGTGGGGTGGGGTGGGGTGGGGTGGGGTGGGGTGGGGTGGGGTGGGGTGGGGTGGGGTGGGGTGGGGTGGGGTGGGGTGGGATGGGATGGGATGGGATGGGATGGGATGGGATGGGATGGGATGGGATGGGATGGGATGGGATGGGATGGGATGGGATGGGATGGAATGGAGATGGATAGAGATATGGATGGAGATGGATGGAGATGGAGATGGAGATGGAGATGGAGATGAAAATGGAGATGAAGATGAAAATGGAGATGGAGATGGAGATGGAGATGGATGGCTGGATGAACGCTGTCACAAACCAACCAGCTCAATGGGTGGCTCGTCCTTTGATTCCACCCGCCTCCCACAGAATGGTGGTCCTGGCCTCCATTGAAAACCAAACCAAACAAAAATGGCAACCAAGAGACAAACCCAGCTGGCCCCAACCCGAAACCGAGAAACGACGTTGGTTTTACCATCGAACCGAGCGACTGGCCTCAGGAGTCGGGGCATGGTTTTTTTTTGCCAGCTCAGCCATCGAGCCAAGCAACTTCCACATGCGCAATCTCAAAGGCCGCATCCTGTGGGAGCTTCAAAACAAAGGAGAAGGAACAAGACCAGAACGGTGCTTTGGGCCCCTCTTTCATTCTTGGAAGACACGGAAGGAGCCCACGTAATAAAAATTGGGCCCGGCCCCCTTATCTTTGCGGTAAGTTGACTCTCCTGCGTGTGTCTGAAACCCCCAGATGGACCATATGGAAAAATAAAAAAGTCTAAACCCCAGTTGCACATGGGGGTTAACACAGAGCGCCCGAAACCACCTTGAACATGAAAACCAGCCACAAAAAACCTCGAAAACCCAGCCAACCTGCAACACCCACCAAAAATCAGCAAAGAAAACCAAAAAAGGAAAAAACAGCACACACACACACACACACACACACACACACACACACACACACACACACACACACACACACACGCACGCACACACACATACCTCGCCCCTTCAGCGCCTCAGCGCTCTTGGGTCAACCGAAACGACTCTCGAGGGCGCCACATCTGGAGCGAGGCTGGGAAGCGCTTCCCCGCAGAAGGCCTCGGCCGAACGAGGAGAATTCCCCCCCCCCCCCCCCGCCCCCAATCGCGCCGCCCCCCCCCCGTATTTTCTGAGCTAAAAAGAAGCCAATCCAATCCAATCCAATCCAATCCAATCCTATCCTATCCTATCCAATCCGATCCAATCCATCCATCAGTCCAATCCAATCCAATCCAATCCAATCCAATCCAATCAATCAATGAAATTCAAACGATCAATCCAATCCAATCCAATCAATCGATGAAATCCAATCGATCGATCAATCCATCCATCCATCCATCCATCCAATCCAATCCAATCCAATCACGGAGGGGTCGTGGCTCAAAGCCAATGGAGCTTCAAGGCTCTTGGAACCCGACGCTTTTCCTTCTGAAGCCCACTCAAGCTCGACTGGGTCCTCCAGTGGAGAGGCTAGAACAAGGGTACCCTTTTTTCTGTAGTCTATTTTAGTAGGGGAACCCTCCCCAAAAAAACGGGTGAGAAAGGGCACCTAGCTGGGGGACCTAGTCCAGTCGTCCTAGCAAGAAAGCCATTTGGGTGCTTCTCAACATTCGGGACGCAGTTCCGCCAGGTGGTTTCCTTTGTGTTTTCGAGCTTACCATCCAAACAGGGACCCCCTATTTGGCTGTTGGTCAAAATCGTTTTGGGGATCCGAACTCGGCATCTCGAGGCTCTGAGAAGTGGCGAGAGTGAAATCTAGCTGTCTGGCTAGCTGAACCTGTTCCCAAAAGTGGCCTCAAGTTCCACTTAGATGGTTCGTGAATTGTTGCGGGCCGACCCCAAGTTGGCATGCCCGAGAACATGTGCGGCAGAGATCGAAACAGGACCAAAAGGGAGCCGTCTATTCTGGCCAGGCCGGGGCCTCTTTTGCGCCCTGCTAACCCTTTGTGGATGAAAGAGAAACCAAGCATGTGTTTCTTGGTACACTCCCTCGGGCAAACCAAACATGTGCTTTTTGGTACACTCCCTCAGACCAACACAGAAGTTTCCAGAAGGCCGATCCTGTAAATGGATCCACGTCTTACGGGGTCCAAAATGGGAGCTTGGGGTAAGGGGCCGCCTTTCCAACCTCCAACCCCAGTGCCCCATGTCACCATGGTCTGCACCGAGCTGACTTTCGCTACAAACCTGGAAATTGGGGTTGTTTCACCTACCTGAGACCGAACGGTGACTTGGGTAAATAGCAAATATGGGGCCAGTTGTGTCTGCCTCTCCAGTCCAATCCCAGGCAACTCAAGTCTTGGCTGGAATTCGGACCCCAGCAAAAAAATATGTTTTTGCCTGGTTGGTGGAAAGCAAAGGGAACCCCAAGCAAGCAAAAAAGCAAAAAGGGGAGGAAGTCAGACTCGGGAAGTCTTACCCATTTGACGGCCTCCGCTGGTTTAGAGTCCACCCCGTCAGCCGCGTTCTCCTTTGTCTCAGGTGCGGACCATGGTTTGCAGCCTCAGATCTTCGCGAATGGTCCAGACTCCAAAAACTTCTTGGCATCCCGTAACCTCCAAATCTCTCTCTTTCTTTTGGGTATGATGTCGACCCTCTACTAAAAAAGGAGGTGTTTACCATGGAAACCCGGGTGTTTCAACAAACACCCTTTAAAAAAAGTGGGGGGATGCCCTCACACCAATTAACATGGAACCCCCTTTAGAAGGAAAATGGTCTTCCAGGGCCCCCCTGTCAGGTTCCATGTTAATTGGTGGCAGGGTAGGTGTCCTGTTGGGAAACATAGCTGGCACCGGCAAAGGATTGAAAGCCAACCTGCAACCGATGCCATCGACTTGCAACCAAACTGATAGAAAGGACACCCATCCTTTTGGTCTTTACACCGCGAAAAGAAGAAGAAAAAGAAGAAAAAAAACTTGCGTGTCCTTTTAGGGGAAATCGATGGATATCCCTGGTCGATGAGTCAACCACCAGGCAAACCAGGAATCGAAACCCCTCGATTTTTCCAGCAAAACCAAAAAGGACACCCATGAACCTCGGCCCTGCTGCGCTCAGAACCCCCCCGGCCATTTGCTCGGGACAGAATTGAGTCTTAGGACGGTTTGGTGGTTTTAAAGGGGAAATGGATAGATGTTCTTGAAACTTCGACTCAACCTTCCCATATATATAGGGTTCCATTAGAAAACCCCCTGAAAATGGAAAGATGTTGCAGTTTTGTCCTGGAAAGTAGAATATTATACTGGATTCACTATAATCCCAATTGAACTTGGATCGCCTGAGCGTCACGTTGGACAAAAACTGGCTGATTTGCACTGGCAAACTAAACCAAAGTGAAACAGGCTGTTCCAGAAAGAACGCCTTTGGGATTAACAGCTATTTCTGTGTGCAAGGCCAGTGGAACCTATCTGATGTCAACTTCGGATCCTGGCTCCAGGTTTATCCTGCTGGTTCTTTCGGCATTAAGACGTCTTTGGGCCTTTTGCTTGACCCTCATGAAACCAGTGCTAAGCAGAAAGCATGGGTAGGCTCGTTGCTTGACCCTCTTTTGCTTCACCCAACGGGCGTGTCTTCTTGGGACCCCCAAAGGAAACCGACCCCCAAAGGAAACCGAAGCCCATGTGGGGCGTTCTTGCTTTTTCCGTCTTGTTTCTTCTTTTTTTTCCCCCCGAGCCGGAACCCCCAAGCTTGCGATGCTCCTTGTTCGCCCTTCTCACCACCCCCCAAAAGGTACCATCAAAAGACAGACGCGTCCATGGGGCCAGGTCCGATAGGTCCCCTAGAAACTGAGACACCCCGCCAGGTGCGTTCAAAAGGAAAAAAAAAGAAGCTCCCCTGCAACAAATGCGACTCTTCTTGAACATTCCTCCCCCTTTTTTTCGGGGGAGGATGTCGACCCTCTACTAAAAAAAGGAGGTGTTTACCATCAAAAAACAATACCCCGAAAGAATACCCCTTAAAACAAATCCTCTAAAAGGAGGCTTTTCGATAAAATACCCCCTTGAAGAAAAAAAACGGCCCCGAAAAACCGGCGCGGGCCGGTGCCAACCCCCCCCCCAAAAGATTAACGCGCCGGGGAGCTGCTGCAGCGCTGTGCGCCAGAGGTGCTGCCGCCCCAGCGCAGCGCAGGCCGCGTTCAGCGCGGGGCGCTGGACTGGCGGGGGGGAGGTGTTTTCCGGGGATCGGTGGGGGCAGGGGGGGAGAGGGCGGGGTGGGGGGGGGGGGGGGGTGTGCGGGGGTTGGGGGGTGTGTGCGGTGGGTTGGGGGGGGGGGGGGGTGTGCGGCGGGTTGGGGGGGTTGTTTTTATCCCAGCCGAGTAAAACCAATGCGAAAAGGTTGGAACCCTCAAAAAGAACATGCCCCTGTTGGTGTTTTCTTTGGGCCCAAAAGAAAACTGCACTTGCTGTTTAGGGCACAGCGGAATCTGCCAGCAAGGGGCCCGGACGAGAAGAAGAAAGAACGAACCGGCTCAGGCTGGGTCCCAATTTGTGCAGAGGATCAAACGTTTGATGGACTCACCACAGAATCGCCGAGACCTTCCGTATGTTCGCATGAAGTGTGTCCCTTGTTGGGGGGCACCCTTTCTGGGGTGGGTTTTAAAGGGAAACCAAAATTCAACGAATTTCAGCGGGGATCATCCCCATGGTTATATCCTACGCTTGAGCACCCAAGCTTCTTCTGCTCTTCTTTCCCCGTACCGTATACATAGCGGTGTATTTCACTGGTACGGGAATGGGTCTACATTCTTTGGAGGCAAAGTGCAGCGAAAGCAACCCGCTTTCGACCTTCGATGCGAATGCAAAAAAAATGGGCTGCCCCATCGGTTGTTTGGCTTCAAGGACTAAAAACCTAAACGGTCCAATCCAACCACTAAAATAGGTTCTGAAATTGGGTGGTGAATTCACCTACCAACCAAAATGAGATCCCAAAACAGCGCTTCGGCTTCTTTCGCCTGAGACCTGCAGGCCGCTGGAGCGCAACCGCTGTGCCAGCGCCACGGCATTTGGCCACTGCCTGGCGCCGGCTCCGGGTTTCTGTAGCTTGCGATAGGGAAACAGGGATCCTTACATTATACACCTGAACATTGCCTTGTAAATGGTGGTGTCCCTTTGTGTTGGTGCACAAGGCCAGGTTTCAACTGGGAAATGGAGATCTTTTAAGGATCCCTGGGAAAACGAGCGAGTTTCCGGGCGGTGGAATGAACCGGTTTTGGTTGGATGCCCGAAAGGACACCACTTGGATGGTTTATGAGGGTCAGTCCAACTCATTCCCTGCCGAGAACCGGCAAGGTAGGTGTCCTTTTTGTCGAAAATCGATGGATTTCCCTGGCAGATGATTGCACCACCAGGTAACCACCAGGTAAAACAGGGGTTGCCCTTCATTTTTCAACCAAACTGACCAAGAAGCACACCTATGGCAGTATCCTTTGGTGTCATTGTTTGCTTGGGAAAAAGGAAACGTCAGGTATATAAGTGCCTACCAGGGGGTAGCCGCCTTGCAACCATGGATTTGGTAGGGTCGCAAGCAAGCTTAGGTAGGTGCAGCCAGACCCCTTCAGGAAACCAGCCAAGGAGGTTGAATGCTCAAAAAAAAACGGGAAAATGCAGGCGTGATACCGTGGATGGACGCAATCCATTCGCACCACTTTGAAACCATGAGAAACCATGGTATTTACCGGGGAATCAACATTCCAGGGTTTCTTAGGTGGTGCAGGATTTCGTCCATCCACAGTGTTCGTCCAATTGCAGGAGAATTGGGCAGCGAACCTTCGCGGCTGCTCAAACAACAGGGAATTCAGGGCTGTTTGAACAAGGGCCCGGCTCAACTTGCCGGCCGGTGCAAGATGGGTACCATCCATTGTCTCCGAGCTTCGGTCATAGCTAAAACAAGGAAAACCACAACCATCTGAAAGGATCTTGTGGATTCATTTGGAAGAACCCAGTCTAGTCTGGAAGCCAATTGCGAGGTCTCCTGCTGCACATGTTCTTCTTCTTCTTCTTCTGCTTCTTCTTCTTCTTCTTCTTCTTCTTCTTCTTCTCCTTCTACTTCTTCTCCTCCTACCTCCTTCTTCTTCTCCTTCTACTTCTTCTCCTCCTCCTTCTTCTTCTTCTTCTTCTCCTTCTACTTCTACGTCTTCTCCTTCTTCTTCTTCTTCTTCTTCTTCTTCTTAAGCTAGATGGTCCCTGTGCACCTGGCCTCAAAAGGAAAGGACAACCTGCAGGACCTGTCTTGAAAACTGTTCGTTTACTGAGCCGTCCGTGTTTGGACCCCGGACTTAAACTTGTTTGACGTTGGAAGGGGAGCAAAAATAATAATTTTAGCAGCTCAGTGGGGATTGCCCACTAAACCACAATAAGCAAAAATGTAAAATGTTTCCCAACAACAACCATGTAAAGTGACTAAAGCGGGGTAAACGGAACCCCAACTACTAAACCAACTAAAAACCACAAACCTAAGGAAGCGAACGGCTGGGAAAAAGCAAACGTGATGGTTCAGGAGTCCGCCCAATCGCTAGGCGCCCAACCGGCAAGGAATTTGCCAGGCAGTTTTCTGAGGGTTAAGTCAACTGAGGGCGAGCAAAGTCAAGCGCTCAGCATAGCTTTCCCGGACCTCCAAGTTGGACAGTGCGTAGAACGGCGTTGTCCTTTTTCGTGTTTTTCCAGCTGTTTCGTTCGTTGTCTTTCCCAGCCATTGTGGGTGTTCCCGCTATTTTTCCCAGCTGCTGTTGGGTTTCGCCAGTGCTTTGTGTTGCCTCTGGAAAGTAAAACCCCCGTTTTTTGTTGAACTGGGCCGGGGAACAGAAACCAACATACACCTGGGCAGTTCTCAGATCCCCCGCTGAAAGTTTAGCTTTCAGTGAAGCTAAATTCGGAGACTGGCACTCAACCCCGAACATCTAACACACAAAACACCATCAAAAGAGAGGGCCCGGCCAAGGTCGGCGAGGTTTCTCTTTTTTGGCCCTTGCAACTCAAGTCCCAGGCCACCTATCTAGTCCTTGGGTGCGCAAACCACTTAGGTGTTGACCATTGAAAGAGGGCCATGGAAAAGTTGCTCCACTTCATCTAAGTCGCTATATCCGAGGCCGTGGATGTCCCGGGAAGTGGTCGAATTGTTGTCGCGCTGCCACCCCACTGGAGGTCAAGAAAAGGGAGCTCAGTCCTCTTGTCCCATGGGATTCGGAACCATGTTGGTTTGTATTTCAAATTTAGAAACCAAAAGGAAACCGACCGTACCCCGTGGCGAAAACGTGCCTTTCTTTTTGTGAGGCGTGGCATCCCCTTTTTGTTGTGTGAGATCAAAAACGGAGCCTGTTGGCAAACCATTCTCAGGAGTCCTTGTGAAGACAAACCCATTGACTGAAATGGGAGACGCTCTCCCAAGAGGGAGAGAGAGAGAGAGAGAGAGAGAGAGAGAGAGAGAGAGAGAGAGAGAGAGACCTGGGAAATATGACGCGGTGTGTTTCTGTTATTATATGTATATTTGGTATTATGTATACGTGGTATCATTCAATATAATTATAATGCGTCGATCTGATTTTTACAGCGTCGTCCCTCGAAGATAAGTCCCGCTGGGTACCAAACACTCCAGACACACCAGATTTCTGCAGAAAAGTTGGAAGACAAGCTATATGTATCACGCATGTACCTGGCCAAAGAGCCAAGGTGTCCTTTTGGAAGATAGATGGCCCTGGTAGATGATTGAACCGCCAGTTAAACTCCAAAAACCCGGAAGGTCATTCCTCGCTGAGAACCAGCAAGCTTTAATACAGACTATGGCTCATCATCAAAACTCGCTGGACAAGGGTATCAAAGACGACCATTAACCATCACCATTCTTACCGGTGACCTGCCATGCAAAAGACCTCTGCGCTTCTCTCCACCCGACTTCAACATGGGCAACCGCATCGCACGCGGAACCTTCTGCAGGTCTCCACCAGATACGCGAGGGAGTTTCTAACATTTGCGCGCTCCAAAGACAGCTGTCGATCTTGTCGAATCCGCAGTGTCCGTGGCCTACACGCTCCTAGATGAGAGATGAGTGAAGCGCTCATCCATAAGGAGGCCAGGGGTGCCCTTAAAGGAAATGATGATGGATAGTCTTTCAGGGATCCTTACATTATACACCTGAACATTGCAACTTGTAAATGGTGGTTTCCCTGTATTTTGGTGGAAAAAGCCAGGTTTCAACTGTGCAAAATGGAGATCTTTTAAGGAGCCCGGTCTTTCTTGGGGTCATTCCCTGAGCCCCTGAGAACCAGCAAGAACATGGCCTACCATGTAAGGAACTAACTGAACTAGCAACGCGGCGAAGGCACCCATTGGTTGGGACCGTCCTTTTCTGTGGGAAATGGAAGCCACTTCTTCCCATGTACCAGGGTATTTGGGGTACTTATGTTTGATCCCACCACCCGGACTTTCTACGTACCCGCTTTCTTGGGGGCATGAGGTTGACCCTCTGCTAGAAAAGGGATCGGCATGTACTGTGGAAAACCGAAACCGGTTTTTCAAAAAGAAATACCCACTGGAGAAAGGCAAAAAAGGAGGTATTTACCGTGGACAACCGGGTTTTTCAAAAAAAAATGGAAAAAGTGGGTCTTTGGAGGGGAGGTGAACCGGGGGTCCTCTCGCTCGCCAGCGGCTCGCTCGCCGGCCGAATCTTCCCATCTCCGCCTGCCCTCGTTGGCGCTCACCGCGCTGGTGAAGGTGACCTCTGGGCTCCGCGTTGGACGAATCGGTTTGGCCACCGATTCGAACCTCATGGCTGGGGGGGAGGGAGGGGGAGGGGGAGGGAGCCCAAAGAAGCCCGCAATAATAAGGCCTTATTTAGAGCTTAATGAGGGCTCAATAAGGGCTCCCCCCCCTCCCCTCCCTCCCCCCCAGGCCCCATGATTGAACTTTTTGGGTTTGGACCATTTAAGGCTTTATTAAGAGCTTAATAAGGGCTCAATAAGGGCTCCCTCCACCTCCCCCTCCCCTCCCTCCCCCCCAGCCTTTATGAGAACCTTCAAGCAGCACACTCCGAATCATGCGGTTTTCAAGCAGCACGCTCAAGCAGCTTCCGGTTTCCCCCCATGGTCTTTCATTCGCCTGGGGTTCCAATACACCTGTGATACACACCAACCTGGCTTCAGACAAAAAAATCAAATACGAATCCAAACCGGGCTCCAAAGCACCGAGCTTGAGGCTCGGAGACGCGTTTTTCGGCTGTGGGCTTCAGATCCCCCGAAAAGTGAAGAGAACTGGGCGGGCGACTCGGGGAAACCCAACTGAACCAACAACGAAAATCCAAGGAACCGAATGGCCGGGAACCGAATCACGTGAACATACACCAAACGTGCCGCCCGCTTTTGGTGCTTCCGTTTCTGCGGCTAGACATCACCTTACCGGGCTGGACAGGCCGCTTTTCTTGGTCATAGCCTCAAACACCTTTCGCAAGGCAAACTGCTTCCCAGCCTGCCATCTGGGTCTGTCCCTTTTTTTCTTTCAGTTGGCACGCTTTGGGCGATGAGCTTTTTCAATTGGGTTTCCTGAAGGCAACGCCCAGCGTCCAAACTAGGTCCTCCAGTAGAGAGGCTAGAATAAGGGTACCCTTTTTTGCTATAGTCTATTTTAGTAGGGGAACCCTCCCCCAAAAAGGGGTGAGAAAGGGCACCTAGGTGGGGGACCTAGCAAAACCCGATGTTCAGCTGCAATGTCGCCGTGTCTTTCTGGAGGCCCAGTAGAGGGCAGTTCCATCACCCCAGTCGCTTAAGTGCCCTGGAGGGACTCAAAAACGGGTGGGGCTAGATGTCCTTTAAAACCGACCGGGGCAAAACATATTCTTGAGCAAACGGAAGTATAGAATTGCAATAGGAGTGTGTTGTGTATGTTCAAGCCAAGTTTAGTCGTGATAATAAGAGAATCACTTGCAAATGTCTTTGGCCCCTTACGTTCAGCTTCATCTATCCGAAGCGGGGAGAATGTTGATCCGTACTCGAGTCAACTCAATTGTTCACATGGGGTTTGTCTCAAGATAGGGGGACCCCACAAAGCTTGGTGGTTTCCTTTTGGCTTCCATTTGAAACCAACAAACCGGGGATTCACAAAAACAGAACACCCCCATTCCGCAGGCCCGAAGTTTTCGCATACCCGGCCTCGTCTGGATCCCCAGCGTCCAACAGCAGCATGGCAGCCTGCGAACCCAAATCTGGCAACACCAGCTGAGGCGCCCGTAACCCCAGTGAACATCCCAATCCAACCACTAAAATAGGAAGCCTAAAATGGGTGGTGAATTCACCGACCAACCAAAATGGGATCCCAAAACGGTTTTGAAAACCACAGCCATCTGGTGACCATCGGTTGCCCTTCCACCTTTTCACATGGAGCCCGACCTTCGGGGAACTTCTCAGGAAAATGGTCACCGGGACGCTCTCTGTCAGGTCGTCATCTGGTGGCCATCTCAAGACTTGAGAATGCGGGAGTTGCGTGTGGGGGGGGGGTGTGGGCGGGGTGTGTGGGGGGGGGTGGGGTGTGGCACTTGGATTCTTCCTGAAATCAAAATCCGAGGACCCCTACGAATGGCAAGCCCCAAATTGTTGGACCCCCGTCTCACGAGGATGGAATGAAGATCCATGCACCCCTCTGGATCTGCAAGAAACATCGGGGTTTTCCAGTTTCCCCTTGCTTTGGTTGCTTGGTTGCTTGGTTGCTTGGTTGCTTGGTTGCTTGCTTGCTTGGTTGCTTCGTTGCTTGGTTGCTTTGTGTGTGCTTTTGTTTTTTGTAGAGGTTATACCCAAGACCCAAAACCTTCGAAGAGAAACTGATCAACCGCGAAGGCCATGAAAAAAAAACAAAACTTCGGAAGACCTTGGGAAGCCGCCAGCGCAAATCGGCAAAAGGGAAGCCACGACCACTCGCCGGGACAGCGGACGACCCTTCCCGGACGGTTTCGCGCGGACGGCTTCGCGCGGACGGTTTCGCGCGTTTCGCCTGCCACTGCCCTGCGCGGCCGCAGGAGGCCAGGGCGATGTTGAGGCTCCCAGAGGCGCCCTGGCTGAACGTGAGTTTGACTGGGTGAAACGAGAAACGAAAACCCAAAAAATGGGGTTTGTTTTAAAAACGAGCCAAACCTAAACCAACCTTTGACTGGAAACCCGAGCCAAACGATGAATGAGGTGTAAAACATAGGGCAACCCCCAAAATGGCTTGCCCTGGTGGCAACATGGACCAAAACCTGCGGTCCCCTGGTGGTTGAATTTGACCCACACCCATATAAAGGGAGAGATTGCCTTGTATCACAGAAGTGGTTGGATAAACCCCTTGATTCCACAACCCTGGTCTTGCTCAAGGTGAGTTTGACTGGGTGAAACCATGGAAACCCGAACCAATGAAAAAATCACCACACAAACCAAAGACCTGAAAAATCCTGTTGCCAAACCAACGGAAAAATCACCAAGCAGACCAAAGACCTGAAAAATCAGGGGCTAGTAGAAATCCTTTTTTGGGATGGGGTTTAACGGCCCCCTTGTTCGAGCTGTATTTCTACGCCATCTGTTGGCTTCCCCTTTCTTTGCTGACCTCTCTTTGCAAAGATTTGCTTCAGGACATCGAGTCTTCCAATCCTCAGCTTTCCTCTCAGCGGTTCGGAGGTGTTCTGCGGGTTGCCCTGTGCCCAGTTTCCCTCCACTTTGGTTTGGATCGCGTTTGGATTGCTTCAAGTGTCCGGCTTTCCCATCTGGACCAACGGCCCCTCAAAGGCCCTTGGAAGGTTGGAGAGGCGGCCCCCAAAGAGATTGGAGAGCAGAACCGGTTACAAAGCTGTTGGTCTTTGATTCCATTTACCTCCACTTACCTAGGGGCCATTTTGGGCCATTTACCTCCACTTACCTAGGGGGCCATTTTGGGAAATCGTTTTTTTTTAGCCACTGCCAATACCAGAGAACCCAAAACCCGTTCAAATCCCCGGCCCCAGAACCTACCCAGGGGCCATTTTGGGTACTTTTTTTTGAGCCCCAGCCATCTGTACCAAAGAACCCAAGACCCGGTGCAACTCCCAAACCGCTCCCGAGCCAAGCCGCCCCGCGGAATCGACACCCCCCCGACGTCGATCGAGCCTCCAACGCCGCGAGCACCGAAGACCACCGAGATCCGCAGGCGCCGAGTATCACGTTCCGCGTCACCTCCAAGCGGTGGGCCGAGCGGCGGAAAAAGGTTTGAGTCGTGGCGCCTTAGGATACGAAGCCTTGGTGGCGAAATCTGCTCCGCAGCTAAAAGTGACTAACTTCTAGTGGTTTAATGGAAAACCCCTCAGTTCTCCATGCACTAAGCGATTTCATTTTGACTTGTGGAAATCCCTAGCCCCGGAAGGCCTCCCCCCTGTTCAAGAAGACCTTCCGCGCGGAAAAGTCGCGGGAATCCGCGGAGTCGCCGCATTCAGCGGGAGACCAAGCGGTTCCATTTTGGCGACCAACGCCAAAATCAGATGCCAAGAATGGCTGTGAAGCTACTGTCATCTAAAGGTTTGCTCTGTTCCCAAGGGCATGAGACATGAGGCGTCGTTTTCTGGCCTTGGTGGAAACCATTCCATGGCCTATTTCGCCGAGGGACCTTCGACTTGGAAGCCACGAGGACACATACACCTAGATTCAAACATGACAGCACCCAACAAAGAACAGTGATGAGCAGTTTTCCTGTGCCCCCGCAACCCAAACGAATTGGGAAAGGTCCCATTTTGGAGGGGCTGATTTGCGGGGGGCTCACAAGCAGCGCTGATGGACCTCGGGGGTAGGGAGTTTTCCAACCCAAAACACCCAACTCCTCCAGTCTGGGAAAGGGGAAGGACTCATCTTTGCCCAGGGTTTCCAGTTGTTATTCCCTTGTTGGTTTCCGAAGTTGGTTACTCCCATGTTATTATTCCCATATTGTTATTCTCATGTTGTTATTCCCATGTTGTTATTCCCATGTTGTTATTATTCCCATGTTGTTATTCCGAATTCCCATGTTGTTATTCCCATGTTATTAAACCCAAGTTGGTGTCCGAAAAGGGGAATGGGCGAAAAGGTCGTGGACTGCGCGGGAAGTGTTTTCGCAAGGTTGCTTAAAAATGATACAGCGAACAGCCACAACCACGCCGCCAAAAACCGTGTCCAAAGGAGAACACATTGCCGGAGAAAGAAACTTGTGGCCGCTCTGATGGCCCAGCGGCCTCCCTACATGCGGCCTCGCAAGGATGCACTGCTCCAGGCCGAGCGTCTGTACTACCGGCGTCTCATCGCGGGCCTTTGTGGGGAGCTCCGCGCTGAAACAGCGCGCGGTGAGGAGCGGGAGCGCGAGAAGATAATTCTCCGCAGGCAGCTGGAGCGCAGCTACGATCTTGGCGAGCGAGATAGCGGAACTGCGGATGGTGCGGGAGCATGCTGCTCTGTTTGAGGGGGAGGCCAACCGTGAGATCATAAGTTGGCGTCATGATATGAAGGCTCTGTGGGTTGTATACCCCCTAGCTCCAAATACCCACTTGTTCTAGGGTATTTTTGGGAAAACCTGGTTTCCCATGGTAAATACCTCCTCTTTTAGTAGAGGGTCGACATGATACCCTAAAAAAAGTGGGTATTGGGTGTAAGGGGTAGGGAAGGTTTGGGATGAGGTTGCGTGCTGGCTTTGGATTGCCTGAGGGTGTTTCTGGTGAATCCTGGCGAGAAAGTCCCGTACAAGCCATCCGCTTGAGCACCGTTTTAAGCTACTTAAGCGGGGTAGTCATCCAAGTGGGTATGTCTGTACATGTCAAAACAAGATAGCGGTTGCTGAGTGAAACCAAACAAAAGCAATGTGCGGCATACGAAAAGGCCTCATAAAGATTCCCATTTGATCAGGTACAGGTACAATAGCAAAGCTGCGTGTGGTGCCTGAGGGCAGGGCTTCAGTACTTGTGGGTTGGTTTTGGATGCAAATAGTAGGTTCAGCCTGGGTTTGGCATTGTTCTCGCGCTGATTTCGGTTTGGTCCTTGGGCTTTGTTTCGGGTCGGATGGCTTTCGGCTGGGTTTCGGGTGGGTTTAGGACCCGTTTAGCGTTCAGGGCGGGTGGGCTGGTTTACGGGTTCAGCCTTCTAGGCTTGTGGCTTCGGGTTTCAGGCAGCGCCCCGGCCGGGCTTCAGGCTTTTTGGGTCCCCCTATTTTGAGACAAACCCCATGTAAAAAGATCCCTAGAATACGGAAAGAGGACCAAAAGAGTACAGACCGGGGGAAGAACCCATAAAACCCCACGAAAAGCGAAACCGTTCTCTTTTTTTTGCAGGGTTCTAATAGGGTGGTGTGTAACCCCTGCTTCTCACGTCTGATCGATGGCCAAAAACGTCACCAAACTTGCTGTAGGGCCTTCCCAAAAAAATACAAAGTCCCTGACCTCAGAAAGTAGAAAGTAAGGATTATACCCTCCCACCAGCTAAATGGAAGTGCACAAATTGGAGGAAAGTTGGCCTTTTTGCACTTCCTTGTTCGTTGCGAGGGCAACCCACTCAGAAAGACTTACAACCATGGCAAGCAGGTTATCACCGGTATGACTTCACGCGCTTTTTGCAAGAAGCTGGATGGGCAGAAAGTCTTCACCTATGCCGCAAAGCCCACCAGCTCTACCCCCGACTCCAAATACTCAGCTCGACTCAAAATTCCGAAGGCCCCCAGAGCCGAGAGGACCCCTCTAATTGAGGCTCGGGTTAAGGGGGTTAAAGACTCAACTCGACTTCGCCGGCCTTTTTTTGGCTATCATGTCGACCCTCTACTAAAAAAGGGATCGGTATATACCATGAAAAACCGAAACCGGTTTTCCAAACAATACCCTAGAAAAAGCGGGTATTTGGAGTAGGGGGTAGGCATCTGGGAAAAGTCAGGGCTCAAAGGGAGAAACCAAGAGACCCCAACTCACCTCCTGAGTGGATTGCCCGATAAGAGTCGAAACTTTCTCTTTGCTACTAAAACGGTCCAACCCCGAAAAGTGTAGTCCATGCACTCAGGGAGCCAGCAAAAAGCGAAAAAATGTGAGAGAGTTCGCTGACCCTCATGCTCCACTCTTCAAAGTTGAATTTATGGGCAAGAACCTTGCCAAATGGCACCAAGCACTAAAACCTGCCATCCCCTGGCTGTTTAATTTTGACCCATAACCATCTCAGCTTTCAACCAAAATCGGTTGACAAAAGGCTCTCGTCCCTTGGGCCGAGGGTTGCTACTTAGCTTTTGTACACCCCATCCTCAGGTATTTGAACCCTCAGGGATCCTTATGTACATCCTTCTACCCAACCTGGCACCAATTGGCTGTGGGTCAAAACCCTGTACACCTGAACATTGCAACTTGTATATGGTGGTTTCAAACTTTATTTTGGCGGAAAAAGCAACATGTTTCAACTGGTTGCAAAATGGAGATCTTTTAAGGAGCCCTGCTCAGGCATCAGTGCTTGGATGGTTTTACACCAAAACCCTAACTCTGCGGAACACTTTGGACGGATAAAACTCTGGGGTTCAGCACGCTTTTCAGACTCTGTAGCTACAACAGCCCCAGGTTCAAGCTGTCTTGCACCTGGCTGCTGTCGCCGCCAAATACTGGATCACCCCAGGTCACAACAGACCCAGATTCAAGAATGGCAGCAAAAGCACCAAGCGCAGCTGCTTGGATTTGCAAGACGTTCCTCAGCTGCTCTTGCACCTGGCTGCTGTCGCCGCCATATTCTGGATCACCCCAGGTCACAACAGCCCCAGATTCAAGAATGGCAGCAAAAGCACCGCCAGTTGCTTGGATTTGAAGGACGTTCCTCAGCTGCTCTTGCACCTGGCTGCTGTCGCCGCCAAATACTGGATCACCCCAGGTCACAACCGCCCCAGATTCAAGAATGGCAGCAAAAGCACCAAGCGCAGCTGCTTGGATGTCCTGAACGTTTCTCAGCTGCTCTTGCACCTGGCTGCTGTCTCCGCCACATTCCGGATCACCCCAGGTCACAACAGCCCCAGATTCAAGAATGGCAGCAAAAGCACCGCCAGTTGCTTGGATGTGCTGGACGTTGCTCAGCTGCTCTTGGACCTGGCTGCTGTCTCCGCCACATTCCGGATCACCCCAGGTCACAACAGCCCCAGATTCAAGAATGGCAGCAAAAGCACCGCCAGTTGCTTGGATGTGCTGGACGTTGCTCAGCTGCTCTTGGACCTGGCTGCTGTCTCCGCCACATTCCGGATCACCCCAGGTCACAACAGCCCCAGATTCAAGAATGGCAGCAAAAGCACCGCCAGTTGCTTGGATGTGCTGGACGTTGCTCAGCTGCTCTTGGACCTGGCTGCTGTCTCCGCCACATTCCGGATCACCCCAGGTCACAACAGCCCCAGATTCAAGAATGGCAGCAAAAGCACCGCCAGTTGCTTGGATGTGCTGGACGTTCCTCAGCTGCTCTTGCACCTGGCTGCTGTCGCCGCCAAATACTGGATCACCCCAGGTCACAACAGCCCCAGATTCAAGAATGGCAGCAAAAGCACCAAGCGCAGTTGCTTGGATGTCCTGAACATTTCTCAGCTCCTCTCGCAGCTGCTCTTGCGCCTGGCTGCTGTCTCCGCTGCAGTCTGCAGGACCCCAGGTCACAACCTCGCCCCCGTGGCCATGCCAAGCAAACACCTTACTCCATCTCGCAACCCGGCCTCTGACAGCGTGGCTGTCGAATCGAGCTGCTGGCCTTTCGCAATGAGCTTCAAGCGACGCTGGAAATGCTGCTGCGCTGCAGCCTTCAGCTCGCTGATGGACCACGACGGTAAGACTTCTAAGGAGCAGCCATCTCCATTGGGCAAGTGAACATCCACCTTCATGGCAGAAGGTTCTGCTCTATGCAAGCTGCCAAGCACCAATCCAAGACCGGGGTCTCATGGTCAGTGTGGTTTTTTTTCTTGGGGTGTCTCTTTGAATGGTTTTGTAAACCATGTGCGCAAAAGATCCTTCACGGGTCTACCGTCTCAGCTTTGGTGAGCAGCTAAAACGGTGTGTCTTGGATGGAGCATACCCAAAACTCAGGGCAAGGATCTACAGCTTGGGATTCTTACTAGCCACTCAGGTTTTGGTTTCGGGCGGGCAGCGACTCGACTTTGGGTCCCAATAAAATTCAATACGAACAATACAACTTAGTCAACCCGTACATCCAATACCCGTTTCTTAGGGGATGTTCACATCACAAAACATCAACAACAACAAAAAGGCCTTTGGAATTTGGACTGGGAACCCGGATTTCGATATTTTTCTTTCTCAAAATAGGGGAAGTAGCTGTCACTCCCGAAGGTTTCCGTCCTCGAACAGATTTCTTTGGGCGCCGCCCCCAAGCCGCCGGCCTCATCCTGCTGGAGCTGCAAGACGCGCAAGGAGCCCAAGACCCGCAGGGACGCCTCCTCGGTAATTTTTTTCGAGACCCACACCGAGTGAAAACCCCGATTCACCTCCAAATACGCATTTGTTCTGGGTATTTTTTGAAAAACGGGGGGGGGGGGGGGCCCATGGGGGAGGGGGGGTCCATGGTAAATACCGATCCCTATTTTTAAGTAGAGGGTCGACATCATACCCTAAAAAAAGTGGGTATTTGGAGTAGGGGGTTCATACTTGGTTGCTGCTGTTGACCCCCCTGCAAAAAGTGAATCACTTTTGGGGGGTTTGGTGGAAAACCCAACTTGATTTCCCCAAAAGTTAAACTGGTGTCATTTGCGTAAAAACCACCCGAATGAAACCCATATCTTTTTGGACGACCCAGGTAGACTTCAACCCAGGACCCTTTGGCTCAGATGCCCGGTGGATTTCCATGGGGAAAAACCAGGATCCTTGCATTATACACCTGAACATTGCCTTGTAAATGGTGGTTTCAAACTTTATGTTGCTGGAAAAACCATGCTTCAAATGGGCAAAATATATTTTTTAAGGAGCCCTGTCCAATACAAAAAAAAAAACGTTGATTACCTCATGCCGGTAACAATGCCAGAATCGACAAGTTCATAGAGCACTTTCTCTTCATGTAAATGATCTTCTGAAAAAGCGACGGGAGAAAACACGCGCGCGAGCGCAAAAAGCGACGGGACGGCAAGGCACCCGTGGAGATGCGACCGCGCTGCAGGATTGAGTCATAATCAAAACCCGTCGTTGCTAAAATGGTGTACCCAATCTTCAAAATGATTTACCGAAATTCCAAAAGCTGATTTCAGAATTGGATCCCCAGCACCAAGATAAGACATTGGTCGTCTCGAAGGGTTCTTTTCCTGTGTTGGGACACACGCCGACATTCTGATGCCGGCCCAACTACTCAAAGCATCCGGAGGGTCCAAAGTTAAGATAACTACGACAGACACACAAGGGATGGTCTGATTGCCACACCTCATAGCTAGGCTGGAATTAGGACCCCAGCAAAAAAAAAAATGCCTGGTTAGTGGAAAACAAAGGGACTGCAAAGAAGCAAAACAAATAAAAAGGGGAGCAAATTCTGGGGAAGATAGTAAGATCCGAGCTGAGACCGTCTCTTCGAGAAATGCCCTTTATTCGGAAGGAGGTTCGAACAAGCCTCGGAGGCCTAGCAACCCTCCGCATGCGACCATTGGAGTTCGGTACTTGGATGTTTGTTGCCAAGCAAGTAGGTTAACTCCACTGCATAGGGGACGTATAAGTGGGGTGGGTATCCCAGGTAACCAACAACTTAAGTTACCCGAACACCCACGGTGGCTCATGCAATTATTGAATTACGGAAAATTACCCAATTAACATGGTTGCCCGGCTCCCTTGCGTCAATCGTGTAACCTACTTTGGTGTTCCGCTGGTAAGTGTTTGGTGAGCCGGGTTACCCTTTTTTGGGGCCCCTCGTTAAGTCGAGCTAACCTGTCATTGTACAGTGGGATATACATGTGTATATATATATATGCATATACATATATATATAGTACCTCCCCCCCCCCCCCCCACCCCCGAAAAAAAATGTGTTGTGAGAAAACACTGGTATGTTAGAGTGCTTTGTCGCCAAAACCTGCATCTGCCAGACCACACACTTTTCAGGCCCACTGTCTGCATCTGTCAAAAGCCTCTCATTTGGCAGCCAATGCTGCAACCAAACACTATGATTGCGTAACGGCATCTCTTCAGGGAAGCGCTCTGGAAACTGAAAAAAAAAAAACTGAAACAACTGGAAAAAAACTGAAGAAAAAATAATTGAAAAAAGCTGAAAAACCAGGCATTCAGGAGGAACTGGGCCCCCCCCCCAGGCATGTCCCCCTGAATCCTTTGTTTTCAGTTTTTTGTCATTTCTTCTTCAGTTTTTCCAGTTTTTGCAATTTTTCTAATTTTCCAACCTTTATTACTCCCCTGCTATTGTCTGAGGTGCCCTAGCCAGGAAACCTGAGAGGTCAGACAAATTCTGCTTGAGAGTATACCCCTCGTATTCCCTCAGCATTCCCCTAGCATTCTCCTAGTATGCTCCTTTAGTAATCCCCTAGTCTTCCTTGAGTATTTCCCTAGTATTGCCCTAGTATTCCTTTAGTATTCTCTTGGTATGCCCCGAGTATTTCCTACTAAGAGAAGGGGAATACTAGGGGAATACCTTCAGTGTTGCCCTAGTATTCCTTCTTGGTATACCCGAGTATTGCCTCAGAATCTTCTAGTATTCTCCTTGTGTTCACCCTGAATTGTGCCCTAGTGTTCCCTGAGTAGTTCCTTAATATTGCCCTATGGTTGCCCTAGCATTCCTCTACTATCGCCCTAGTATTCAGTTAATATAATGGTCACTTGGTATACCAGTAGTATTTCCTCACTACCCCATACTATTGCCTTGCTATTTCCCCTGGTAAAGGGATTGAATTACTAGGGGAATACCTTTAGTATTGCCTTGGTATTCCTTAAGTATTCTCTTGGTACACCCCCAGTATTCTCTCAGTATTCTCCTAGAATTCTTCCAGTAGTCACGTTTAGTATTCCCCGTGTACTTCCCCAGCAGTGCCCTAGTATTGCCCTAGTCAGGAAGCCTGAGAGAAGTCAGACAGATTGAGGTTGAGAGAAAACTCTTCGTAGCATTCCTCTAGCATTCTCCTAGTATGCTCCTCTTCCCTAGTATTGCCCTAGTATTGTCCTAAAACTTTCAAAATAGTACCTTGGTATACTGCTGGTACTCCCCCAGTATGTTGTTGTTGGGTTCTCCTCTACCCGAACCAGAAAACCCCCAATACCCGAAAAGCGAAACTCCATCCCGCAATTACATGAGAGCAACCCAAATAGATGTGGTCGGCCCTCTGACCTTGGGCGCTCCGTGTAGGAGTACCCACCAAGGTGGCCTCTGCGGGGACGTACCCCGAGTGTCAGGGAAGACGTAACGAAAAGGAGTATCCGATCAAACACCCGAAGAAGAGAAAACGGGGTCCAAAAAGGGTCGACAACCAGTTCCTCACCCTTGCTTGCCATCCTTGCCAACCTTTGGACCCCTTGGCTTGTGCCCTTTGCAGGGGTCCTCGATCTGGAAAGATCTGCACACCTTGGCCGGAAACTTGGTGAAGGATGGAGCCTGATCGTGTGGCCAGTTCAACCCGAACTTCCAGGTGGGTCCTTGGCCAAGTTCGCTTGCCATGTCCCAACTCCAGACTCGGCCAGAAGCAGGTCCTCATCCCCATCAGCCAGGAAGGCTTGTTGCACTTAGCGTACGACCACAACTTCTGCTTGGGCTCGGAGCTCAAGTGGTACCTCGTTGTTCTCCACTTGCTGGAGCAAGGCACCCAAACCCACGCACTTCTCCACCCGCAAGAACCTGTACGACTCCGCCATTTCCATGCGGACTTCAGCTCTTTCCAGACGCACCGTGTTCTCACAATGAATTCCACGGCACTAAGCCGCCGTTCCACTTCATCAAAGCGAAGCTTGCGTTCGTTCGCATTGGCCATGGCTGTAGGTTTGAGGGCTTAGTGGCTGCGCGGTAAGGGCGACAAGCAAGACGGCGTGGGGCCTTACAGCTAGGGTATCGGCGTGACCTCACCTTGACTATCGTGCTCTTCCGGGAACATGTCCTATCGGCCCATCTCGAAGGGCTGCGTGCCGGCACACTCCCTAAGATCTTGTTGCAGTACCGACAGGTCCGATTGGCCAGATCCGGCCCTCGGCAATCAGGCTGACAGTCGTGAAGTGTGGCAGGACGAGAGGGTGTCTACCCCCGCCGCCTGCGGAAAGACCCATTGAATTCTTGGAGGACTTGTCGCCGGCACCTAGCTCGCAGGCAACCGATTTCCCATGCTCTTCGCCATATCAGACCCTCTTCGTTGATTCTCGACTGTTCTTGACTGTGAGCCCGCCTGCGGAAAGACCCATTGAATTCTTGGAGGACTTGTCGCCGACACCTAGCTCGCAGGCAACCGATTTCCCATGCTCTCCTTGGAAGTTGAATTCAAGAGAAAACCACAAACGTTTGCCACAAACCAGCCGTGGTTCCTGTTTGGGCGTTATTTTTTGAGCGGCCTAATTCTGAGACACACACACACATATTTGTCCATCTCCCCAAAAGCTAAAGTCTACGTGTTCCCCTAATATTTCACTAGTAACGGAAGGGGAACATTGGGGAAATACCTTCAGCATTATCTAACTAACTAGTCAGCTAAATAGATAACTAACTGATTAGCCGATTAACTAGCAAACTGGCCTTAGAGCTAATTACAACTATTTAAGGACTTGCTGACTGTTTGTTTGACTATCTAATTGAACTTGCCAACATTTATGTTGTCCAGTGATTTTTGCAAGTGTCCAGGTATTTTTTGCAATTGTCCAGGTTCAAACCCTGGGTGTTGGAGGGGGGGGCACATGTGTCTATATATATATATATGTATACATATGGCAAACCACTTACTAGCGTGACTAACTTGGCAACGAACATCCAAGTAACATCTGGCCTTGGAGCCGGGTGCTGGGGTGCCGGGCCCAGTTGCGGAAGGCCGCAATGCAGCAGTTGAGGGTCCGAACCTCTCAAGAGGGGAAGAGGGCGGAGGTCTCAATTTCAAAATGCGCACCAGGTGTTGCAGCTCCGAAAGGAAAAACAAAATGACACTCCCACACCAGAAAGGCCAGGCTCGGCTCAGGGGATGTGTTGCAGTTTTGCAGAATCAGGCCCGAGGTCGGTGTTGGATCGCTTGGGGCCACCCCTCCCAATTGGGATGCTCATCTGCTCACCATGGCCCTCTTAGATGGGCGCGAATGGGTGTGATTTTTACTTTGGGGCCCTTTCAAAATTTGGTGGGGATTTATGTGTTCTGGAAAGCGCTGCGTCCTTGTGGAGACATAAGGCATTTTGCCCCGCTCATATGACTTTGCTGTTGCTAAAGGAAAACGAAGCCGAGAACCATTTCCCCCCCCTTTTGCCCAGAGCGCGGGAGGACGACAGGGCAGATCGGAGGGACTGCAGAAGATGGGCACTCACACATCGCAAGAAGCAAAACATGACGAGTGAAGAACAGTTTGGGGCGTGAAGAGCATGCCAGACAAGAGAAGCGAGCTAATTGGCAACTGGGAAAGGAAGGTACGCACACCGGCAACCCGCAAAATGGCTGGACATCATGAATGTCTACTGTCACACTAGGAGGCAAACCTATGGACTCAATTTGGCTGTGGCTCAAAAAACCGGAATTCCAAAATGGCTTGCCCTGGTGGTAAGTGGAAACATGGGTACCTAAACCTGCGGTTTGCCCCTCCGACCGTTTAATTTTGAGTGCCACACCCAAATCTTTGAAAGCGCAGAAGGGCTGTGGGGCCTTGTGAAGGCCGCCATCTCCCAGGCACCCACTGCCATCGATGTTCTCCCACACCGTGGCCTCTGTTTGGATGTCCGGCGCAGTCTGCCAGAACATCCCGGACCGGCCGAAACCCGCAGGGTTCTACGCGCATGTTTTCTCGCACACATTCACGCGTTCTTCATCTTACCTGCCCGCAAACTATCTGTCTGCGTACGCTATCCTTCCGCGCAGGCCATCTCATCTTCTGCCATCTGTCTGCTCTTTTCGCATGTGCTGTCTGACCCTTCTGAAGCAAAATGGCACCAGGGGCCACTTTGGCTCAAGTGTCCGGCGATCTGTTGTGAATGTCCTTTTCCGACAAGACTGCGGATGCGCAGTCGAGGACTATGAGATGGATTTGGCGTCAGGCAGAGGCCAGATTCTGGGCTTCAACTCACTGTGACGTGCAGGTCATGCAAGAGTGCAGACGCAGTGCCAGTGCCCAAAAACCGGGCTTGGAAGTTCGGTGAAGGGGGAACAGCCAGCTGTGTCCATGGAAGATTCCCAACCACCTCTTTCTCGATGCCTGTCTGGCACGGCTTCGCCGCGGGTTCGGCACGGCCTCGGAACAGGCTCAGAACATGCGGCGCACGGCCCGTTGCCACGCAACACGAAGGTTTGGCAAGGTTTCAATTGCGTGGCAGGCGCGGCACTTTCGCACGCAGCGCAGATTTCGTGGCAGGTGCAAGGTTTGGTGGAGACTTTGTGACAGTCGCTGCACTTTCGCGAAAGAGAAAGAAGGAGAGAAAAGAGAAAGAAAAAGAAAGAGAAAAAGAAAGAGAAAAAGAAAGAGAAAAAGAAAGAGAAAGAGACAGAGAGAGAGAGAGAGAGAGAGGAGGAGAGACAAAAAGAGAAAGACACAAAAAGAGAAAGAGACAGAGACAGAGAGAGAGAGAGAGAAAGAAGAAAGAAAGAAAGAAAGAAAGAAAGAAAGAAAGAAAGAAAGAAAGAAAGAAAGAAATAAAGAAATAAAGAACAAAAGAAAGAACGAACAAAAGAAAGAAAGAAAGAACGAAATAAAGAGAGAAAGAAAAGAGAGAGGGAGAGGCACAGACAAAAAGAAAGAGACTGGGAATATGACCACCCATTGTTTACCTAAGACGTCATCATCAAAAACCCAGAAACTCGTTGCAATTCCCTACCTATAGCAAGTTTCATCCGGAACCAAGTTGAATCCTCACACCAAGTAACATGGACAACCTGACGTTCGGGACCCGGTCCCTTTGAAAGGAACATGGTCCAAACCACCGATGCCCCGAACGTCAGACCCATGTGACAAAAGTAGGAGGGCAGAGGCAAGCTTTGAAGGTGGAGAAGGATTCAGACCCCCAAAACGGTCCGAAAATTCCTTCCGGATCCGAACAAGGGGTTCCCCCCAAAGAAAAAGACGCATCCCAGTACTGGACATAATCCAGCTTCCAGCTTCCCTTTAAAACAAACCAAACCAGGGGGTTCCCCCAAAGAACCCATGGCTTCATTCGCTGCCAAAGGCCATGGCTGCAATCATGGCTCTTACCTACCAAAGATCCATGGTTGCAAGTCCACCAAGGGTGTACTATGAAGGGCATTTCCATCATGTTGACCCGGACCAGATGGCCTGGTGGAACTGAGGGAAGGACTTTTGTTCACCCAGGATTAATAAACCCATCCCATTATTAGGGGGTTGTTTCACCCCCCAATGAAAATCCACCAGGGGTTTATTCATCCGAGGTTCACATTAACCACCTAGGAAGTACCACCGCCACCCCTTGAGACCGCCCCAACACCCCGAGGTCTCGTGGCCAAACTCAGCCCCGTCCACCCGCCCCCAAAGGGCGCCTGCGGCCAAAGACCCACCTGGCGCCGCAGGTGGCGCGAACCAAAACCGCACAGTGCTGAAACGCGCCATGGTGTTACATTGTCGCCTGATGAGGACCTATGTCCAGCACGGTCACATCGATTCCCTAGAGCCGCCCCGCCTTCAGTTCCTAAGTTCTGGGGCTGAGCGTCGTGAAAAGCGCGGCAAGTGAGTCAAGACCCGGTGCAAAAAAATGCGAATCCCAAAAAATGCGAATCCCGGAGATCCGCGGCTAAGAAATGGCCAGGGGATCGTGCCATACGAACCTTCGCCTACCCCTTCCATTTGGTTAAGGCCCCAGGAAAAAATGAAAATATGTCCAGTAGTGATGAATTCCGTTTAAACCCAACAAGGGGGGAACAAAAACTCATTTCAGCAAATGGAAAAAAAGGAAATACAAGATTCTCAAGCAAATGGAGGACCCGGGTTTTGATTTTGGCTCCAGCGGAGCGGACCAAAGGCCATGAGAGATGGCTGGAGGAAGCCAAGATGGCGCTGCTGTCGGTTCCGAGTTCGGGTCTTTCTGGGCGCAGACGCCACCAAAAGGTGGCAACAAGCTTGGTTGCTGCAACGACCCCCCTGCAAAAAAGTGAACAACTTTTGGGGGGGGGGGTTAGTGGAAAACGCCTTTATTTCAACCAAAAAGTTAGTCTAAAGATCCGTTGCCCAATAGCAGTCAAGCTTCAAGATTAAACCTTGGCGGAGCGCAAGGCGGAGCGAATCCGGGTACCGTCCAAACAACCCCCGGAATCCGGAATCCACCTGACTGCTCGTTGCGCCTGACTGGGTGCGTTCCTTTTCTGGGAACCAATTCTGCAAGATCCAATTCTGCAAAAGAGCAAGAATAATGAATAATGATGGTTGCCCTGTCTGTGGTGTCCCACCACGGATCACGGATTCGACTGTGCCCTTTTGTAAGACTTACGCGGTTGGGGTTGTTTATCCACGGGGGGAACCCGCTGAAGGCAACACCCCGTCAGGCCTTCCAACGCCCCTCCTTGGACTACCCCCGGAACCTCCAAATACCGATTCGGCCTTTTTCTAGTCGGTATTTGTTGGAAAACTGGTTTCGGTTTTTCAAGGAAAATGCCTCGTTTTTTAAGGGTCGACCTCATACCCCAAAAAAGGCCGGGTATTTGGAGTCGGGGGTAAGACACCGATCGGCTCCAGCCCAGCTAAAACTCCGGCCAGACGCCTTCCGAAGATCTTCCCAGAGCTCCACCGAGCTCTGCCACCTGGCGAGAGACGCCCAGCGAGCCGATTGGCCCCTCTTTTCGGCCCGGGAAAAAGGGGCGAAAAGCGGGGGTTGAGTTGCCAGGGTGCTTTGTGTGTAGCCCACCAACAAAAAAAAAACAGGGGTTGAGTTGCCAGGGGTTTCTGTTTGCAGCCCACGAAACATGAAGAGAACCAACAAAAAAACAAACAACTTGCCAAGAGCAGGAAATAGAGCATGTGCTTCACTTGGTGCGATATGCAGGGAATGAGAATTGGAATGACCCGAAGTAAACCATCCAACGATGTCGTCTCCTTCAAGTAAACCCCCAAACGTTTCATTCCCACATTCCCTTCCTTCGCATCAGCAAGCAGTTTGCTTGGGAGAATGAGGTTCCTGTCGTACCGATCGCAAGTTGGGGGGGATCGCTCCCGGGCGGCTGCTTCTGGGTGGCCCTTGGAGGCTCCGGCTTTGCAGGTTCTGAAGCTTCCATGTGCGGTTTCGCCTGGAAAAAATGAGAAGATATGTCCAGTCATGGATTTCCTTTAAAACCAACAAGGGAACATAAAAAAACAATATTCAATTCGGAAAATGGAAGGAAGGGAACCCAAATCACGATGATCCTGAGCTCCGGTCCAGTTCCTTTTCACACACGTCAAAGCTTTATGGACTTGGTGTTGCAGGTCTGAAATGCCTTTGTGGCGGAGGGTCTCACTGCAGAGGGCCTCTTAAAAGATATATCTCTTGAGCCACGTCCTCAAAACCGATTCGGGCAAGTGAAGGTTAGTAAGGGACGATCCCAGCCATAAATTTCTGCGGATATCCGCCTGCTTAGTTCTTGAAGCATGGTTCTGGGTCGACCATTTTTGCACAGGGTTTTGATTGTGACTCTCTTGAGGCTGTCCATCTCTTGAGATTCAACGTCAGCTTGTCGCTGATGCTTTGTAGCGCGGTTTGGAGGTGTTCCAGGGCGTTTCGGCTTCCCATCACCCTCTGAAGAAAACGAAAAATTCAAAAACAAAAAAAGAACTGAAAACATCGAACCCGCCGGGGCATACCTGATCTTGGTTTGACGTTGGAAGGGGAGCGAAATTATGAATCTTAGCCGTTAAGTGGGGGATGTCCACCGCGAAACCACAAAAAGCAAAAGGTCAAATGTTTCCCAACAACACCCAAGTGATCGAGGCTTTGGTTCGAACCGGAGGAAGAAAAGAAGAAGAAAAATCCGCTGGCCCTCCGGGACCTGCTGGGTCCCTTTAAAAAAAAAAAAAAAAAAAAAACGACAAATCCCACTCTCCCCGCACCTGCTGCCTTTGTCGCAGCAGCTTATGGCTGCCTCACAGCTCTTGCGAACCCAACCGGTTTTACAGAGGAGAAGCCACCCATTTGGGGCTCCGAATCCAGAAGAAGAGGGGCATGCTCAGATAAAGTTGGGCTGAACACTTCAACTTGTTGGAGAAAAATGCCAAACCTTCGCTTCGGGGTTTAGTCCCGACCGCAACGATCGTGCCCAGTCGCGTTAAACCTGTCAAAGGGTACCAGGCTTCAAAGACAGACACCCATCTCCAGGGTTCCATTTTTCGACAACCCCAACGTGGACTTAAACCCAGGGGTGGTTGATTTCCCAGATCCGAAACCGCTGGGTTTCAGCCTACCTGGAATTCGTCAAAAACGGAACCCTGCACCCAACCGGTACTGACTCCGAAATGTGGCGATAAAGAAGCAGAGCTCCACTTTCCCGCCAAAGTGATCCAATCAATGGATTGCACCCCCTGATCAAAGTCAATCCAGTGCTGTCATCCTGGGTTGCCAGAAGCACTGCGCACAAAAAAAACAGTCTCTCGCTCACTCACTCACTCACTCACTCACTCACTCAGTCACTCACTCAGTCACTCACTCAGTCACTCACTCAGTCACTCACTCAGTCACTCAGTCACTCAGTCACTCAGTCACTCAGTCACTCACTCACTCACTCACTCACTCACTCACTCACTCACTCACTCTCTCTCTCTCTCTCTCTCTCACGCACTGCTCTAAGGCTGTGTATTGCACTCTGGGAATACACCGACGGACGGAAACTAACGCAGCATCTGTCAGAAACTGTGTGAGTTCGAGACATCTGAAGTCCTTTTCCGAAGGTCTCATCCCAGGGTGTAATGCACAGCATCCTTCTGCAAATTAACATGGAACCTCTCAAGTGCAACCCCAAAAAGCGAAATTCTCGAACAAGACACGGCCATGGACGCCTAGACTCCCCCACCTTTTGGGATCCCTCCGTTGATTTGCAGAGAACGCAGTCACTCTCGATCAGAGGTACCTGCGTTGTAGCTGATGGTGTCGAGCCGAATCGCTTGCGAGGCTGCCTCCTGGCGAGCGGGAAAGCAGGGCGGCCTAACAACCAAAGCAACCAAAATCAGCTCCTCGTGTTTGAATGCTTTTGCGTCACAAGCATAGGTGTCCTTTTGGGGCAAATAGATGAGTTTCCCTGGTAGATTGGTAGATGGGTAAACCAGGAATCGGTGGGTAAACCAGGAATCGAAACCCCTCTCATTTTCTACCCAAAACAACCAAAAAGGACACCTATGTTCACAAGGGCAAGCTTGGGCTTCTGGCCCATGGCCCATGGCCTTCGTAGGACCCAAAACGACCCCACGGCACCACCCACGGCACCACCGGCGAAACCGATGAACTCCCTCGCCTGGATCAGCGGTCCTGCGAGCACCTCAAACAAACGTCCGAAAGCGGCGGGAACTGCTCTAAACCCAAGTCTGGGCAGAAGAATCGCTCGCCTGAGTGGCCTGGCCCGAAAAATCTTGGTGCCGAAGTTTTGGGTTTGCCACTCAAATGGTCCAAGCCTGAAAAGTGACTAAGGTCCATGAGTTCCAGGGAGTGAGAGAATGGCGACAAAGTGCCAGGCACGCCCATGTCTCTCCTACATCAAGGCAGACAAATAGAGACACATGACAGCACCTTTCTTGTTTTTTTTTTTTTGGGGGGGGGGGTGTTCGAAGGGAACCGAAAAGGAAAAAAACCTGCATTTCAGGGGACAAAACTCCAATGGCCGTAACTTCTTCTGGATGCGCGACGGTGTGCAAAACGCACCACAAACACACCAAGCCGAAACCAAAGCCGAAGCCGGACACACCGGATCTGTCATGGGCCCTGTGTGGGTTGAATGGAAACCCAACCACTAAACCAACTAAAAGCTCGAAAGGATCGCCGGATATCTGGGAGCCACCAAGAATCCACTTCAAGCCAGTTGATCCAAGGTATTCAAATCAGGTTTTACCTTTCCCTGGTGCCGATCGATGCGCGTGGATGTTGCCCATCCACAGGAACAGGCTTGATCACCTTCCGGTCCTGCACATGAAAACTATCTTTTCTCTGAACAGTGCCCCGAAATCGGGCTTCGTGGTCCAATCAACCTGCACTTGGAAACTTTCAGTTCTCTGAATGTTGCCCCGAAACATCCCTTCAGTGTCAAGAAAGGCATGGGAGCCCTGCCAAACTGCTTGAGTGTTGATCCCAGTACTGCAAAGACCACCTCACTTCTGGTGGAGTCTGATGCTTTTCTTTTGCTTGCTGCCACACGAGGCTGCATGTTTTAAATGGCCAGATTGGACATGGTTCTCCATATTTGCCACCTGGGCATGACCTCCAAACCCCCCCCCCACTGCCTTCTCCTTGCTTTGGTTTGATTTCTCGGTTTCTTTCTGCTCCCCTGCTAAAAGTTGTTTTTAACTTTTACTGGTTCCATAGGGAAAAAACCCACTGGTTTTCAAAGAGTTCTCAAGTCCCACGACATCCCTCGGCAAAATGCGCCTCTGATTTTTGTTTTGTCTACCCAGAGGCTCCTGGGGCTTTCAATGGAAGACCCGACCCCTCCATTAGACACCCCGGAGGTGGTTGGGGGCTCAAAACCAGGTTGTTTGAAGGCCCGAAATGATTCGGGAGCCTTTGTCCAGGGAAACAAGCATGATTCGGACGCCTGTGCTTGAAGCGAGCTTTCCGGTGGAAGCCGGCCTCCAATGTGGGAAGCTACCGCCATTCGCGTCTTGTCTCGAAAGAGAAGCGCCAAGTCGATTCCCTTTAAAAACCGACTTGGAACAGAAAAAGACCGAGAACCAGTCTTCTCAACCGAAATGATCTCAGCTCGGGGTGTGTTTCTTTGCCCATTCTGCAAACTCCAAATCCGAAAACCCCTCCCATCCACGTCCCCTGACCCATGAGGCTCGTTCCACGTATCGAGGCCCGCGCGGCGGGGCCAGAGCTCACCAGGGCGCTCCACATCACCGCGTTCCGCGGCACCTGGCGCTTACTTGGCCAAGTTGGATTCGCGAACGTTAGTGACCATCTTTTCCAGTGGATCCATTTGCACGGTTTTGTACAAGAGAGCCACTCTTCAAAAACAGAAGGGAAAATAGCTTGACCTACTTGGGTGTTCGGCCAAGTGAACGTAAGTTCTTGGCATCCCTTCGGATACCCATTCTTTCTTTCTTTTTAATCCCCCCGTTCTTTTTCTATGTGAGGTTAACAACTTGCTAGGGGTTTTGCACCCCCCCGAAACGGCGAACCACGTACGATCCAAGCACGGAAGACGCGGAGCTTCGGCCCAGCCGAAGGCTTGACGGCTTGGGGGACCGGGTTGTAGAGAAACCAACCCCCGGCCGGTTTTGGCAAACGGGGTCATGGCAAGCCTTGAAAAAGGAATCGGACATATTGTTTTTTCTCAAGACCCGATTGTTCAACAAACACCCTGAAAAAAACAGGTTTTGGAGTGGGGGGGAGTCGGCTTAGATTGGGAAACCAAACCACTGAAACAACTAACATACCCCCGGGTATTTTTTGGAAAACCGATCGGTTTTTCAAGGTAGATACCTCCTTTTGTAGTAGAGGGTCAACATGATACCCTAAAAAAGTGGGTATTTGGAGTCGGGGGTAGTATTTGGAGTAGGGGATAGATTCCCCCCTTTAACATCGCCCCACAAGGAAACTCTCCCCTACACACTTGACCCACCTTTTTGCAATTGGCACCATGTCAACCCGTTACTCAAAAAGGGATCGGCGTTTTACCCCGGAAATCCAGCCTTTTCGGAGATTCCCTAAAAAAAGGCGGGTGTTTGGAGTAAGGGGTAATTGCAACCAACCGAGCCAACATGCAAGGGTTGTCATTGTTGTTTGTACTTACAATCGTCCACCAGGCCTCGACACAAGGAACCACAGGAGCCCTTGCAAGAATTGGGCGTGTGGTTTTTCGGGGAACCCAGCAAAGGTTCCCCTTTGATCTCCCTTTAAACCAACCAATAATATACAAACCAAATAAGGGGTATTAATATTTCTAGGGGACCCAGAAAATGGTAGTGTAAGCCAAACACTGTGGGTGCCGTTGGTGCTTTTGAGGTGCTAAGCTGAAAAACGCAGGCATCGCTTGGCCTCCTGTGAGTGCTTTTATGAGGGCAGCGGGGACGACAAAAGGTGTGTTGTGCCACATCCGTTTTGCGGACCAGTGTCGGTTCCAGCAGAATGCAAAGGGATAGGCTCCATACAAGTCTTCATCCAACATATGTATGTATGTGCCCATATAAATGTATATACACATATACACATATACACATGTATACATACATACATACATTACATTACATTACATTACATTACATTACATTACATTACATTACATTACATTACATTACATTACATTACATTACATTACATTACATACATACATACATACATACATACATAAATACATACATTACATACATACATACATACATACATACACACATGCATACATACATACATACATACATACATTTCATACATTACATACATACAGACATACATACATACATACATTACATACATTACATACATACATACATACATACATACGTACATTCATTTCATACATACATACATACATACATTACATTGCATTGCATTACATTACATTACATACATACATACATACATAAATACATACATTACATACATACATACATTACAAAAATACATTACATTACATACATACATTACATTACATACATACATACATACATAAATACATACATTACATACATACATACATTACAAAAATACATTACATTACATACATACATTACATTTCATACATACATACATACATACATACATACATACATACATACATGCATACATACATACATACATACATACATTACATACATACATACATACATACATACATACATACATCCATGCATGCATACATACATACATTACATACATTACATTACATTACATTACATTACATTACATACATACATACATACATAAATACATACATTACATACATACATACATTACAAAAATACATTACATTACATACATACATTACATTTCATACATACATACATACATACATACATACATACATACATACATACATACATACATACATACATACATACATACATACATACATACATAACAAACATACATACATACATACATACATACATACATACATACATACATACATACATACATACATACATACATTACAGACATACATACATACATACATACATACATACATACATACATACATACATACATACATACATACATACATACATACATACATACATTACATACAAACAAACAAACAAACATACATACATACATTACATACATACATACATACATACATACATACATACATACATACATACATACATACATACATACATACATACATACATACATACAGACAAACACACATACATACATACATACATACATACATACATACATACATACATACATACATACATACATACATACATACATACATACATACATACATACATACATACATACATACATACATACATACATACATACATACATACATACATACATTAACATACATACATACATACATACATACATACATACATACATACATACATACATACATACATACATACATACATACATACATACATACATACATACATACATACATACATTACATACATACATACATACATACATACATACATACATACATACATACATACATACATACATACATACATACATACATTGAAGCATACATCTGTGTACCATACATACATACATACATACATACATACATACATACATACATACATACATACATACATACATTCATACATTACATTACATTACATTACATTACATTACATTACATTACATTACTTACATACATACATACATACATTACATACATACATACATACATACATACATACATACATACATACATACATACATACATACATACATACATACATACATACATACATACATACATACATACATACATACATACATACATGCATAATCATACATACATACATACATACATACATACATACATACATACATACATACATACATACATACATACATACATACATACATACATACATACATACATACATACATACATACATACATACATACATACATACATACATACATACATACGTTACATACATACATACATACATACATACATACATACATACATACATACATACATACACACAAACATACATACATACATACATACATACATACATACATACATACATACATACATACATACATACATACATACATACATACATACATACATACATTACGTACATACATACATACATTACATACATACATACATACATTACATACATACATACATACATACATACATACATACATACATACATACATACATACTTACATACTTACATACATACATACATACATACATACATACATACATACATACATACATACATACATACATACATACATACATACATACATACATACATACATACATACATACATACATACATACATACATTACTTACATTACATTACATACATACATACATACATACATACATACATACATACATACATACATACATACATTACATACATACATACATACATACATACATACATACATACATACATACATACATACATACATATATTACATACATACATTACATACATACATACATACATACATACATACATACATACATACATACATACATACATACATACATACATACATACATACATACATACATACATTACATACATACTTACATTACATTACATTGCATTACATTACGCTACATACATTACTTACATTACACACATTACATACATACACTACATACATACATACATACATACATACATACATACATACATACATTACATACAAACATACATTACATTACATACATACATACATACATACATACATACATACATACATACATACATACATACATACATACATACATACATACATTACATACATACATACATACATTACATACATACATACATACATACATTACATTACAATACAATACAATACATTACATACATACATACATACATACATACATACATACATACATACATACATACATACATACATACATACATACATACATACATTACATACATACATACATACATACATACATACATACATACATACATACATAAATACATACATACATACATACATACATACACATACATACATACATACATACATACATACATACATACATACATTACATACGTACATACATACATACATACATACATACATACATACATACATACATACATACATACATACATACATACATACATACATACATACATACATACATACATACATTACATTACATTACATTACATTACATTACATTACATTACATTACATTACATTACATTACATTACATACATACATACATACATTACATACATACATTACATACATACATACATTACATACATACATACATACATACATACATACATACATACATACATACATACATACATACATACATACATTACATACATACATACATACATACATACATACATACATACATACATACATACATACATACATACATTACATACATACATACATACATACATACATACATACATACATACATACATACATACATACATAATTACATACATACATACATACATACATACATACATACATACATACATACATACATACATACATACATACATTACATACATACATACATACATACATACATACATACATACATACATACATACATACATACATACATTACATACATACATACATACATACATACATACATACATACATACATACATACATACATACATACATACATACATACATACATACATACATACATACATACATACATACATTACATACATACATACATACATACATACATACATTACATTACATTACATTACATTACATTACATACATACATACATTACATTACATTACATTACATTACATTACATTACATACATACATACATTACATACATACATACATACATACATACATACATTACATACATACATACATACATACATACATACATACATACATTACATACATACATACATACATACATACATACATACATACATACATACATACATACATACATACATACATACATACATACATACATACATACATTACATACATACATACATACATACATACATACATACATACATACATACATACATACATACATACATTACATACATACATACATACATACATACATACATACATACATACATACATACATACATACATACATACATACATACATACATACATACATACATACATACATACATACATACATTACATTACATACATACATACATACATACATACATACATACATACATACATACATACATACATACATACATACATACATACATACATACATACATACATACATACATACATACATACATACATACATACATACATACATACATACATACATACATACATACATACATACATACATACATACATACATACATACATACATACATACATACATACATACATACATACATACATACATACATACATACATACATACATACATACATACATACATACATACATACATACATACATACATACATTACATACATTACATACATACATACATACATACATACATACATACATACATACATACATACATACATACATACATACATACATACATACATACATACATACATACATACATACATACATACATACATACATACATACATACATACATACATACATACATTACATACATACATACATACATACATACATACATACATACATACATACATACATACATTACCTTACATACATACATACATTACATACATTCATTCATTCATACATACATTACGTTACATACATACATTACATACATACATACATTACATACACACATACATACATTACATACATACATACATTACATTGCATTGCATTACATTACATTACATTACATTACATTACTCTACACTACACTACATTACATTACATTACATTACATTACATTACATTACATTACATTACATGCATACATACCTGCATACATACATACATACATACATAACATTACATTACATTACATTACATTACATTACATTACATTACATTACATTACATACATACATACATACATACATAAATACATACAGACATACATACATACATACATTACACATGGAGCAGCCATCTCCACTGGGCAAGCAAACATCCACCTTCATGACGGGGGAAGGTTCTTCTGCGTAATTTCAAGCTGCCAAGCAGCTGCCTGAGACACAAACGCACACTATATGAGTTGCTCTTTTAGAAATCCCACCCATTCATTTGTGGGTGGCCCAAAATTGAACAGGAGGGGCAAACCGCAGGTTTTGGTCCATGTTCTCACTTGCCAGGGCTCCATCGTGGAATTCCGGTTTTTGGAGCCACAGCCACTTGTGAAGCTTCGAATCCCCACCATTCCTCCCCCGGGAGAGAAGCCCCAGAATCTGACGGACGACATCGCGCCGAGATGTAAACTCCTCAGTTGTTCAGTGACCCTGGAAAAAAAGGGAACCCATTTTTGAATTGGACCATTTTTAGTGGGGCAGCCAACAAAAAAAGGGAAAAAGGGTGCCACTGAACAACTGAGCACCACTCGGTAGCTGAAATATACTCCCACTCCTGCAGAATTGCGTTCCATCCCAGATTCACGCAAACCCATCGGTGTTATCCCCCCCCCGCCCGGAGAGAAGACTGGGATAAACCTCCCACTGGTGCAGAATTGTGGTCCATCCCTCCATGCAAACCGATGGGTTCTGCAGGTAACCGTTAGGGCCTTGCCACCCGACATAAAAACCAAAAGGAGACAGAAAAAAAACATTGAAGGGTGACCTCAGCTAAGCCAACCCCATCTGCCACTTCAAGCCGAATCCCCCCGAATTCCCCCTGCCTGCCCCTCATGCATGAACAAATTCAACGCCTGGCGAGAGCCGGGTGAAAAGCCTTTCAGTGATTTTCCCTCCCAATGGAAACCGAGTCTCCTGGTTTGGACCATCTTCCCTTTAACGGAACTGGGTCCCTTTAGCGTCGAACGGTTCCATGCGTTAATGGAAGGGTGCTCTTATGTTTCTTTCTCATTTTCAGGGGTTCCCAAAACGGGACCGGGATTCACCCCGAGCACCAAGGGGTGGCTTCGTACGGCGCCAAAAACAGAAGTGACCCGCTCTCGTGAAGAAAACAAAAAAAAGGTGAAGCACCAACAAACGAAAACCAACTTTTGGTCGCTCCAACTTGCCCCAAAAAAACGACGAGGAGTCCTGCAATCCCTCAAATGGCATATCCATAAGGGGCATCTTAGTGGCAGCATTCCATGCCCTTGGTGTTGCAGGCCTATTCGCGAATCTTGTCTCTCTGTCTCTTTGTCTCTCTGCTCTCTTGTCTCTGGAGCCCGTTTTGCTTAGGCAAATGACCTCCGAGTGTGGGATCGTCCATCCTAAATGTCCGATCGACTTCCGATCGACTTCCCATCGAGTGCATTGGCCCAAGCGACCAAGTTTTGTGGGCTGCCACTACCATGGCCCAGCCAACTCAGGGGTTGACTCACCCTCAGTTTCGGAAGTCGCCCAAAGGAGGTGCGTGTAACTCGCTTGGCCCAGAAATCAAGGCTCAACCTTTCGAGGCCGCGACAAACAATGGTCGCCACAAAACCAGTAAACCAAATTTACCTGTATAGTCGGTGCCAAGGGCTTGCCACCCTTTAAAAACCAAGGAAAATGACTGGCTACCTACTATATGGGTAACTGGCTTTAAAAATGAAAGGAAAATAGCTGGATACCTACTCTTCGGGTTTGCCTGGGATCCACTAATAACAATGAGAACCAGTAAATCCATTTTGCCTAGGTCCTCCAGTGGAGAGCTTAGAATAAGGGTACCCTTTTTCCTGTAGCCTATTTTAGTAGGGGAACCCTCCCAACCAAGAAAGAAACGGGTGAGAAGGGGCACCTAGCTGGGGGACCTAGTCCCGTACCAAGGGAACCACCCTTTAAAAGCCAAAGAAAAATCGCTGCTTACCTGCCATCTGGGATCCACTCAAAAAATCAGAACCAGTAAATCCGTTTACTGGTGAATCCAAACCCAGATTCCCTCGTCCCCTGGAAAAGGAAAAAAAAGCAGTAGTGATAGATTCCTTTTAAAACCAACAGGGGAAAATAACGCATAAAATATAAAATATATAGATTTGAAAAAAAAATGAAAAAAAATGAAAACAAAATTAGCAAATGAAAGTTTCGTGGGGGGGCAAAGGTTTTTCCTTGCGCCTGCCTCCTGCCACCGCGCCGCCTTGCCCAGAGCCGAGATCACCTAAAAGCCGGTAGCACTCAGTCAATCGATGGCCGGTTTTTTTGGAGGAAACGTCCGGGCTTGCGGTGTTTCAGGGGCACTCGGTCCGTGCTCATATAGGTCCAGAAACCCAGAAGTGTTCAATCAAAAACACAAACGTACTGCAGCACTTCTTCCCTCGCGACGATGGTAGTGATCGATCGGAGCTAGATTCCCCAGATCGATACTCGAACAATGCATCTCATCGGAGAATTTGTGTGAGGGCAGCCAAAAGGAGAGTTTGTGTGAGGGCACCCCAAAAGGAGAATTTGCGTGAGGGTACCCTGTTTAAGGCGCAGCCAAAAGAAGAATTTGCGTGAGGATACCCCTTGTTTGTGGTGTTTCAAGGGCAGCCAAAAGGAGAGTTTGTGTGAGGGTACCCCTTGTTTGTGGTGCTTCAGGGGCAGCTAGAAGGAGAAGGGAACCCCTTGTTTGTGGTTTAAAAGGAAAACCGCAATTTTCGGGGGCCGCTTGCACAAACACACCCATTTGCCCATGCGTGGGGTGGTGTTGATAATTTGGTTGACATGCAGTTTCTTTTGTAGGGAATCCCCCGGCGAAGCACATCAACAACTCATCCGGTCACAAAATCACAAAATGCAAAAGGCATGCTCAGGCTTGTGGGTGGGTTCGGTATGAGCCGCCATACCCGCAAATATGGAAGTGAATGTTTCATGGCGGTATGCTTGTCACCTTGATGTGAAGGGACTAAATCCCAACCGCTATGTTTGGGGTCCCCCATGTTGACGCATACTCTTCCTGGTATCTTCCCACTGGTGCTATGATAGGAGGGAGGGAGGGAAGTAACACACACACACACCAAAAAAAACGGCCATATCCGAAGGCCCATCCTCAGAACCTGAGGGCCCTGCCGCTCCCAGCAGTTCCGGACTTGGGGGAAAGAGCGCCTGGGGATCGCAAGGGCCTTCTTGGACACTTGGATGGGTGTCCTTTTTTGAGGGCACCTCTTTGTTTGCGGTTGTCAAGGACAAGCTTTTTGGGAGAACCACCTGGTCCCTTTAAAAAAACAACGCCCACTCTTACCGGCTGCTCATCCTACGCTAAAGTGAACTGCTTGATACTTCGTAACTGGTCATAACCTACTTGCCACGATTGTAAGTCCACCGTCCGTGGGTAGCCACTGTTGCCCACTTGCCAAGCCCCTTGCCCCCCGAAGCAAAAAGATGTGTACAACCGGGTGAACGATCCAGGCAAAGCGGACTGGGCCCACTTCCGCAACTTGAGGGTCATCGGTTTTGGGGGGGTCCTTATCGTTACAAGGCGTTGTGCAGCTCGGACATGCAATTCAACCCCTCTAAAGTGGTCTTCGTAGGTTTTGGCCGTTCGTGTCTTTTGGGAGGACTCAATTTGCGGACCCGACTTGCGGACCTGTGAATTCACCTTCTAGTCCAACCCAGCGACCAAGCTGACGGGAAGGGAGACGTGCTGCTCACAGGCCCTGGTTTCTTCCTGTGTCAGCGCTTCGCACTGCTGTGGTTTTGAACACGTACGAATAAAACTGGCTGTACTTGGGCATGGGTCAAAATTAAGCCCTAGCGGCCTTTCAGGTGTTAGGCCTTGTTTCCACTTGCCAGGGTGCCATTTTGGGGTACCTATTGTTGACCCACACCCGCTTGTTGTTCCAACCCTGCGCGCTTTTTCAGTTTCCCTATCTGCACGCAGGTTCAAGCTCAGCTGCTCTTGAACCTGGCTGCTGTCTCCGCCCCATTCTGGATCACCCCAGCTTACAACAGCCCCAGACTCAAGAATGGCAGCAAAAGCAGCTTCATTTGCTTGGATGTGCTGAACGTTCCTCAGCTGCTCTTGCACCTGGCTGCTGTCTCCACCATATCTTGGATCACCCCAGGTCACAACAGCCCCAGATTCAAGAATGGCAGCAAAAGCACCGCCAGTTGCTTGGATGTGCTGCACGTTCCTCAGCTGATCTTGCACCTGGCTGCTGTCTCCGCCGTCTTCTGGACCACCCCAGGTCACAACAGCCCCAGATTCAAGAATGGCAGCAAAAGCAGCTAGCTTCATTTGCTTGGATGCGCTGGACGTTGCTCAGCTGCTCTTGGACCTGGCTGCTGTCTCCGCCATACTCTGGATCACCCCAGGTCACAACAGCCCCAGATTCAAGAATGGCAGCAAAAGCACTGTCAGGTGCTTGGATGTGCTGGACGTTCCTCAGCTGCTCTTGCACCTGGCTGCTGTCTCCCCCTTCTTCTGGATTACCCCAGGTCACAACAGACCCAGATTCAAGAATGGCAGCAAAAGCACTGTCAGGTGCTTGGATGTGCTGGACGTTCCTCAGCTGCTCTTGCACCTCCCTGCTGTCTCCACCATATCTCACATCACCCCAGGCAAAAGCACCCTGAGTCGCGTGGATGTTGTTCTTGCACCCGGCTGCTGTCTCCACCCAATCTTGGACTACCCCAGGATACAACAGCCCCAGATTCAAGAATGGCAGCAAAAGCAGCTTCATTTGCTTGGATGTGCTGAACGTTCCTCAGCTGCTCTTGCACCTGGCTGCTGTCTCCACCATATCTTGGATCACCCCAGGTCACAACAGCCCCAGATTCAAGAATGGCAGCAAAAGCACCGCCAGTTGCTTGGATGTGCTGCACGTTCCTCAGCTGATCTTGCACCTGGCTGCTGTCTCCGCCGTCTTCTGGACCACCCCAGGTCACAACAGCCCCAGATTCAAGAATGGCAGCAAAAGCAGCTTCATTTGCTTGGATGCGCTGGACGTTGCTCAGCTGCTCTTGGACCTGGCTGCTGTCTCCGCCATACTCTGGATCACCCCAGGTCACAACAGCCCCAGATTCAAGAATGGCAGCAAAAGCACCGCCAGTTGCTTGGATGTGCTGGACGTTGCTCAGCTGCTCTTGCACCTGGCTGTTGTCTCCCCCTTCTTCGGGATTACCCCAGGTCACAACAGACCCAGATTCAAGAATGGCAGCAAAAGCACTGTCAGTTGCTTGGATGTGCTGGACGTTCCTCAGCTGCTCTTGCACCTCCCTGCTGTCTCCACCATATCTCACATCACCCCAGGTCACAACAGGCCCAGATTCAAGAATGGCAGCAAAAGCACCCTGAGTCGCGTGGATGTTGTGGACATCTCTCAGCTGCTCTTGCACCTGGCTGCTGTCTCCACCCAATCTTGGACTACCCCAGGATACAACAGCCCCAGATTCAAGAATGGCAGCAAAAGCAGCTTCATTTGCTTGGATGTGCTGGACATATCTCAGCTGCTCTTGCACCCGGCTGCTGTCTCCACCCAATCTTGGACTACCCCAGGATACAACAGCCCCAGATTCAAGAATGGCAGCAAAAGCAGCTTCAGTTGCTTGGATGTGCTGGACGTTCCTCAGCTGCTCTTGCACCTGGCTGCTGTCTCCACCATATCTTGGATCACCCCAGGTCACCACAGCCCCAAATTCAACAATGGCCGCAAAAGCACCTCGAGTTGCTTGGATGCTCTGGACGTTCCTCAGCTGCTCTTGCACCTGGCTGCTGTCTCCGCCGTATCCTGGATTACCCCAGGTCACAACAGCCCCAGATTCAAGAATGGCTGCAAAAGCAGCCTGAGTCGCGTGGATGTGGTGGACATCTCTCAGATGCTCTTGCACCTGGCTGCTGTCTCCACCATATTGTGGATCACCCCAGGTCACAACCTCGACCTGGAAGCCAGGCCAAGCGAACGCGCTGCCTGTGGCAGCCAGTTTGCCAAGCTGCACAACCGCAGTCACTGAGTCCCCATCTCGCAACCCGGCCTCTGACAGCGTGGCTGTCGAATCGAGCTCGCGGCCTGTCGCAATGAGCTTCAAGCGGCGCTTGAAATGCTGCTGCGCCGCAGCCTTCAGCTCACTGACAGACCACGACGGTGAGACTTCTATGGGGCAGCCAGCTCCATTGGGCAAGTGAACATCCAGCTTCATGGCGCAGGGAGATTCTTCTTGGTGTATGCACACTGCCAAACACATATCTGAGACACAGAAGCATGTCGATGTGATTCGTTTGGGGGTCTCTTTGAATGACTCCGTAAAACCACGTATGCAAAAAAAGATCGCTCATGTGTCTTGAACCACTTCAATCTGACTTCGCGTCGTGAGGACATCCTGCAACCTGACCTGAAGAAAGGTGGATCCCAGCTTTGGTGAGCCATATCCAAAACGGTGCAAAGGAGACAACGAGTTGCCACGCCCATCTTTAGATTGGTTGCCCAGTGGATTTCCGTGGAGAAAATAGGGATCGGCATCCGTTGTTTGTTGTTGCTTGACTTTAAAGGGCAACCCTCCCCAAAGTTGAAAAAAGACCAGGCAACTGGGCATCTAAAGTGGGGAAACCACCAAAGGGAGGTCGAATGCTTGGAGTGCGCGTTGGCTCCCTGGTTTGAGTGCAGCCTTCACCCGAATCCTTCGCCTGAGGGTTGGTGTTTGGGTCAAGAGTTGAGATGGGACTCGGCTTCCGGTCCCGTCAGCTCACCCGGATATCGCCCCCCCCCCCCACCAACCGCTTCGGAGGTTTGGGGGCGGGGGGGTGGACTGAGCGGGAAAGTTGCGAGGTTTAGAAATCCTGAAGCAAAGCACCCCCCCTACCATACACTCCCTGTTTCCCAAAACACAACCGTGAAATACTCGGCTCCTCTCAATGGTTCAGTCCCTTGAGTGGGATCCTTACGATGTGTATCAGGATGGCTCAAATCAGTAGTCCGAACAGAAACAAGCCGACGAAACCGGGCTGTCCGCTTCCTGATCCCCGGTTACCCACCTAGAAAACCCACTCAAAACCTTTCTGGACCCCGCGGATCGATTCGCTGCTTGAACCGCAACCAGAACCCCGCACCCCCCCCACCCCCCGACGTGCGTCGCCTTGGCCTCCTCGAAGAGCCACAGCGCCCAAGGCCACGCAACACCTCCCCGCGCGCGGCTGCAGGCGCCTCCGGCGAGCTCGGAAGCGGTGCGGCGGTTCCGAAAGACACGCACGCGTGAACGCCCCGGAGACGGGCGGGAAATGGGATGTGACGGTTCTCCGCGCTGATTTTTTTTCTAATACCGGGAGACTCCTGTTTGGCCCAACAATAAATTTCCCCCGGATTTAGTTGGAACATGTGGTCGGAACTGGGAAGTTTTACCGGAAAGATTGAAAGGGCACTTTTAACGGCGCAATATATTCCAACGCTGATTTTCCACAACCACGATTTGTTTAATGCAGGCACGTTCCATTGCATCTTCCGAATAGCTGATGCTCCTTGCTGAAAATTTCAACCTGGCAAGCTGCAACTTTGTCATGTAACCCACCAGAGGGTCCCTTTGGGAAAAGTGTCTTCCAGCACCCCGAAAACGTCACATTCCGTGGACAGGGTAAGTGGCTGACAAGTTGGTTGCTTGACGCATGGGTTGAAACTCAAAACCACTGGTTCAATATCCAAGTGGGATATAACTTATAACCAAGCTGCCAGTCGTGCAATGGGCAACTCTTAGGCCAAGCAAGTTGCCACGGGCCAAACGAGAGGTCAATCCATGCGGTACTAAAGTGAGAAATCTGGCGAGTCCTCAACCTACCTCGCAAGCTGAGTTAGACTACGGTATACTTCCCGAACCTCAAACAAAATCTTGCAGGGTTCCCTATATTTCCCCTTTGAATCTTACCCCAAAAGAAAACTCACTTCCAAGTAGCCCAAAAGGTGAAAGGCTTGGTTTCAAGAAAAACGGGTTTCAGTTCTATGAGCACCCGGAAGGGTTGGTTTCCCTTTCGCCGTACCGCCGGCGCCAAAGCCCCGGCCGATGCCAGCACCAAAGGCCACGATGTCCAGCTGCGTAAGGCCTCGGATGTTTTTCGCAAACGGGATTGGCGTGAAGCCAAGCGAAAAAGGGATTGGTGTGTGTGTGTGTGTGCGTTTGGTTGAAAAAATTGTTGACCCCGGAAGGAAAAGCCCCCCACACTTTTTCGAAGGGATCTCTTTTTAGTGGGAAATCCTGTCTGTGTGCTTGGTTCTTTAATGACTGCACGGTGAGAAGCCCCACGAAAAATTGAGGGGGCTCTCTTTTTGGCGGGGGACGCTCCTGATTTAGGCACTGGGGGGAGTCTTTCATCAGGGGTCAACATTAGGTCAGGCTGCTGCCGGGAAAGACCTCCAGCAAGCCATGTGCTTTGGAGTCTAAGCTATTTTCACCTTGGTTTTATGGAAACCCAAAAAGGAAAAGCACAGTCAGTTGAATGTATGTGCTGAACATTCCTTAGCTGCTCTTGCACCTGCTGTCTCCGCCCCAGACTGCCCAACCCCAGGTCACAACAGCCCCAGGTTCCCAAAAGCCGACATGAAACTTTTGGCCCCCTATTTCGGAGACCCGTTTCTAAGGTATCCTGCAAAAAGTGGGTTGTGCGGTGCATGGTGGCCAGGCTGGGGCGATTCCACCGCACTTCAACCGAGCGCAGACTTTCGGCGGCGCGAGCGTACAGCTGGGCAGTCCCAGCAGCATTTCAACATTGTGTCACGCTGGAGCTCCAGAGCAATACCAACGCTTCCTGATTGCCTCCTCTCGCATCAACCTTGTCCAGGCAAACTCTGCACCCCCATCTCCGCATGTAACGCAAGAGGCCAAGTCACCAAAAATAGTGGCATCTGCGGCAGATCCAAACTCGCGCATCAAAATTCCTGTCACTACGACATCGGCTGGATCATGGAGAAGCCATTCAACGGATTCATTGTTGTCAAAATTCGGGTCAAATCTGAGATTGCGTGGCCAGTGCCTCTCGTGTGAGAGGGTGTTCCCCTGAATCCTGTATGATCCTGGGCGAACCCTGCACTGAAGGACAGACTGCCCTCACCGATTCTCATCAAGCTTGTACAGTTGAGAATACACTGGGAATGCTGCATAGTTCACACTTGGGCTAACATAGATGGTCCTTTTTCCTTTTGCTCCTGCGTGGCCATGTAGCATCTCAACTCCCTTCTCTCCGGGCCTCTGCAAACCTTGTAGCAGAATGGAAGCAAGTGCTTTGCATCTTGTTCCATGATAAGCAATTTGCCATCCGTGATATAGATCAAAGTCCTTGACCTGCACTCCAAAGCGAACCCATCCAGTTGGCTTGAAATAGGGTGCTCCACCTCTCATGCCATAAAGCCTATGTTCTAAGGAAAAGACTCTATTGAATCGTGGATCCAGAAGACCATTTGGCACGATGTCCTCCATGGCCATAAATTCCTGCAGCTTGGAATGTTCTCCCAATGCAAAAGAAATCAGGTTAGCCAAATCGCTTTCCCTTGCTTTATGAATCTGGGAGGCATTGTGTCGCTGCTGTGGAAGAGCCTCAGTGTACCCGAACATTATCTTCATTATGCGCTTCTGCGGCTTCACAGGCTTCTGCGGCTTCACAGGCTTCTGCGGTGCTGGTTCAACTCGAGGAGGAGGTTCAAAGCCATCTTTTGGCTCGCGAAATGATCCTCCAGGCGTTCTTGGATATGTCTTGCTTCCAGGAGGCTTCAAAACCTTGAATGAACACAACAACGATTCATCGATTTTCATCACAGCTGCATGGTTGTGCTGGTCCGTGAAGGATGAATAGATCGTCACCAACTGCCTCTGGGCGAAAAACTCGTATCCGTCTTGAACCGCAGAATGAGACCGAACTATTAAGCCCAAATCATGCTTTTTGACAAACGCCGTTACAACGTCTCTTCCAAAAAGGAAGGAACGTCCGCGCTCATTTTCTGCCCAACCACACACGCAAGGGTCAGGATCAGCCCACAGCAAGTCAGCGATCAAGCCAGCATCCGGAATATCAGTTGGGCGCGCAATCTGGCGAATCTGGCGCTCGATGGATGTCAGATCTGGGGATAATCCGCCATGCATGCATAAAATATGTTCGTCAATCAATGCCGCGAGCGGCATCACATTGAAAAGGTCACAAAAAGACTTCCACACCTTGATGTTGTACTGCCGCTTACATTCATCATAGAATCCATAGATCCGTGATATGTGCGCACAATCTTTGTTGCCGCGCAACAGAAAAACTTGCTCGGGATACAGCACTTTCTGTGCTAGAAGCACGCATAAAGTTCTTATACTGGATGCCGAAGCAAATGTTACAGCTCCAGTGTTGTAGCCAGCAGCGTAATCTCCCAGCCACAAATAGTTCGTCTCGGGAGGGTGCCCGCAGCAATCCAGCCATTTCATGAGTGTATCGAGCTGGCCTTCCAAGTCTCCGCCAATGACCAGAGGTGCTGTCAATTCAAGGAGCGCACCTTGACTCATGAACACCTGTCGGCTCAGTTGAATGATTTCTTTGATGTCCTGCTCGAGAACCTTCGCTCCGAGTGCACGACTCAGAAAAGATTGTAAGTTCATTGCCATAGGGTCTGTATGAGTGTCCAAATTTTGGACGCTCTCCTTGCGGCTTCTTGAGTGCTGCCCAAGCAGCCGCGGCTCTGGCTTCAGCACTTGAGACGTACTTTCGAAACTGTGGACATTAGAGCAAACCCTGAAAAGGCTTCTCTTTTTATCTGCTACCAAAGAATGTCTGTGTATGAATCGCTGCATGCATACGTCATATACCTGCCTGACTCTGAGGGCAAGCCGCGAACCGGGATTCCGGTAAGAAGCTTCCGGACCGAGATTTCACCACGAATGGCTCAAATCCTTTCCTCCGGGTAAAGGTGAAGGGTGGGGCGGGCCCCAACCAATACTCTGCAGAATTGACATGGAAAGCCCCCCAAAAACAAACATGTTCAGAGAAAGCTCCTCCGGACTTCTCTTTTGTTGCTTCCGAAAACAACTGGAGAGACATTCCGCTCGCTGTTGTTCGGGCTTCGCCAGGTTAAGGATTTAAACGTGGTGCAAGAAAATTGCAAATTGGACCCGGGGGGAGGAAGCTGGTAGAGTGAGGGTACCCCCTTCTTGGGGTTGGTTGTCTTTCGTTGGAAACTGACAGGAAACCATTGCATCATTTAGCTGATTCTTCTGCTGTTGTTGTTCTTTGCTTTCTGTTTTTTCTTTGCGGGGGGGGGGCGGGCGGAAAGCAACATTTGGGGGGGTCAAGAAATCCTGAAGCCAAGCCCCCCCCCCCCCAACCCAAGATCGTGTATCTTCACAACACATCTCTCACTGGGGCTGCGGGGGGAGGGGCGGTCCGGTGGATGTCCCGGCGTTGGAAGGGAAGGGGCAGCCCTAAAAGGAGGTTACAAAAAATAGACCCTAGGCGTCCACCATATGGGTGTGGCTCAAAATTAAACAGGAGGGGCCAACCGCAGGTTTTGGTTCATGTTTCCTCTTCCCAGGGCAAGCCATTTTGGTATTCCGGTTTTTTGGTTGCCACAGCCATATGGGGGGTCGCTGTCCGTCCGGTGTCCGTCCGGACTTCGGATTTCGGCCGCCGTGTTTCCAAGCGGCGCTGGAGCTCCGCAAGTAGCCGCACCGCTTCAGCCCAGCAGCTCTGCAGGCCTCGCGAACCGGGCATCGGGGCCAGTTGACATATCCCTCGCGCTAGGGAATCCCCCCCAACGTAATGAAGCAGTTATGGGAATGGTATCTTCAAAGGAAATATATATATATATATATGTATATATTAGATATATATATATATAGCAAGGGTTGAGTGGACACCTCAAAATGGATCTCAAGATTTGTCCTTTTGGCTTAAGAGGGCTACGAACCAAGACGCGGCCACGTGTGTGTCTGCGTGTGTTTTTCCCTTCTTCTCGGAACCCTCAGAGCCTCGGGGCCCGGAGTTTCTAGGGGAAGCCGTGATCAAGTGGGACCAACCTCCCCCCAGCCTTAGATTGCTCCGGGGTGGTGGAAATGGAAGCCACGAATCTGTGGATGCGTGGCAAAAAGGGCTTAGAGACTAACCCCCCCCATTTCTGGGGGGAGATTCGCTGGTATCACAGAAGTGGTTGGATAAACCCCTTAATCCCACAACCCTGGATTGCTCCTTTGGCCACTTCGGGGTTACGCCCGGAGGACTCCTTTGGAGGACTCCTCTGGACAAACATTATCCCATCCAGGGGGGGTGCCCCCAGCCGTAGATTCTTGCGGTGAGCTTCGGCCAAATCCGCCCACGGCCTGAGGGATTTCTTTGCCGGGGTCCTCTCTCAGAGAGGCCGCAAGCAACTGAGGGGCACCTGAGAATCAAAACCCGGTAGTAAAATGGTCGACCCACGGAAAAGGAAGGAAATACAAAGGCGGAGATCCGCAAGCCGTTTCTGGCTGGGAGTTTGTCCCTTGCTTACCTTCATCTACCAGGGTGTTGATTGTGACTCACCTGGGTTGCGGACATGTTCCAGCGAGGGTTTCTAGCCTGACCCATAGCAAGGTGCTGCTTGCGGATCAAAATACGCCTGTTTACCATCGATAGGTGTGCGTGCGCAACATATGCCAGGAAAACCCAGATCTAAAGATGAGTGCGTCATAAACCAAAGGACCCAAAACCGGCTCCGGTGTTCGCTTTGGTCGCCCATTAAAACAAAAAGTGTACCCTTCGCCTCAAAAACACAAGGCTACAACATGTCATTCACCCAAAATCCATCGGAACTGGAGAGCTCAATTCCCCACACGAAGCCAGACGCGGAGCTTCTTCCAAAAGGATCGCTTTCCGGCGAGCCAAGCCGCTCTTGCGCAGACTCACGGACAAGAAGAGCCCAAAGACGCCGGCTTTCCGTTTGGTTCCTTTCTGGGAGACAAACTGCGTGACCCTGCAAACCCCATGACCCCCAAAAACCCATGACCCCCAAAAACCCATGAGCCCCAAAAACCCATGACCCCTAAAAACCCACGACCCACCAAGCCGGTGGCTTCCTTTTGAGTCTCCGGCTAAACCCCGAAGAAAAAAAAACGACACGCCCCCCCCCGCTGGGTGCCGCGCCGAGTTTCTTCACCTCGCGAGGAGTCCGAGGATCAAGTTAGCGACAAAGCGTTTTCGGGGGAAGCAACTCGGTGGGGGCGGGGGGATCCGTCAGCTCTCCCGTTTTACTGGCCGGATCCAAATCTCGAAGAACTGACAAAAGAAGAACGTGAGGAAAAGAAGAAGAAACAAAAAGACGTGTAGAAAAGCTGGAAACAATCATGAAGTCCTTCAGTGTCCTTCCTTCCCAAAAATGTTCCACCTCGGGGTCATAAGCCAAGCTTGCCTGGAGACTCGTCAAAATGAGCGGGCGGCACCTTGGCCTGCACCCCCAAAAGTGCACGGGTGGCTCGTCTTGATTTAAGGTTGGACCCCCCCAAAGTGGTGCAACGATATTCCTGTTGGTTTCCCTCCAAAACCGCCAAAAAAAAAACATGGAACTCCAACAAAAGACAGACCCAAAATCAGCTTTCTTTACCAGTTTACGCCAAGAAACCCTCGTAGGGGGGTGTCAAAAATAGCTGCTCTTGTTTTCACGAAGAGCAAGGTCTGTGCCCTTCGTTGGAAGGGTTTGGGGAAAATAGAAACCAAAAGGACTGCAATCCTTGGGCTTGATGTTCAATGTTAAGGTGCTGGTGTCGTACGAGGAAGTGGAGCCCTTTTGGTTGATATCCTTTGGGGGTGTCGTAATCAAAACTGGTCCATTGCAGGCTTCTCTAAGCCTAGCTCAAAGCGGACAAAAGCCGTGGTGGAAGAGGAATCCGGACGGAAGAGGTGGGCAACAAGTGATACTCAGCCTCAATGGTCTCTAACAATTGGGTTTTTTTGGGATGGGACATACATTGCTGTGGTTTGGTGGAACCCGCTCGTTAGGTTCCCTGATCAATAAACCCAGGCATCCCCAACAGCAACCCCCGGAATCCGGAACCCTTCCGCTCGGAACTCCGGAATCACTCCGCCCAGGCGACCTCATACCTGGAAAGAAAGCTGGGGAATAATGGGAATGGGCTCAGGGGGTGGACCAAAACTACAAACTCCAAACAGAGGGGTTCCATACAACTTTAAGTACTTGGATGTTCAACCCACTTAGCAAGTGGGTAACCATGGATACAAGTGGGGTAGCTGGGGTTAGTGCCCTTGGCTAATCCTACTTACTAAGTACTCACAAAATGTGGGATACCATCACAAGACGAGCCACCCGTACAACTTTCAGCCTCAGTTGTTCAGTGACCCAGGAAAACAGGGGAGCCCTTTTTGGGGAAGACCATTTTTAGTGGGGCAGCCAACAAACAAAAAAGTGCCACTGAACAACTGACCACTGAAGAACTGAGCAGCTGCCCTCAAGCCCTGTGCGCCTTCCTGGTGACCACATCCAACTTCGGCGGCTCCCATCGCCGCATAGCGCGCGTCTCCGACCGAGAAAGGGCCCCATCGCGCCCGAACGGCCCGCGGCGGAATGGCCGAAGTGCTCGCTGAAGTGCCCAAAGCCCAGAAAGACGGTGACAAAATAACATGGGACCCGAAAATCCTCCTTTTCTTGCAGAACGGGTACGTCCCTTTTGCTGTCCATGTGAGTTTGCAGGGAGTATTTTCAGTATTGACGGACTTGCTTCATAGTCTCTGCCCGCGAGGTTGATCATCCAAGCAACAAAAACTCGGCTTTTCGATGCGGCGGAGCCCAATACACCTGCCACTTGGGGACATTGTGGAAAATGGGGCCCCTTCCTTGGTGCAGGTGCGCCATCCAACCGTGACAACCTTTTTTCACACACGAAAGGGAATTCAAATTGTTGGCATCCCTAAGACCGTGATTCCACGTTCATGTGCAGCAACATTTGCTCATGAGTGGAAAACGTTCCAACTCGGTCCAAGTCGTGCTTCTGCATCTCAAGCCAAACTCGAACCATCCAAAGAGCAAACTGCCATGAAGTGACGAGCCAAAAGCTGACCGGCGGCGGCGAAACCTACGAAGACACCGATGAAACAGACTGTGATACACGCCCTTTGTTCGCAGAATTGGAATACTTGACTCTTCTGGTAGGTGGGATTGTCTTCAAACATTGAACACCCCAAATGAAGCTTGTCATCCCTTTAGCTTTCCTTTGAAGGAGTCCCGAAAGTGCATCAATGATGTGCTGTATGGACAGTCGCTCATTTGGGTTTCCTTTCGTTAGTGGTTCCTCTTGATAGCCAAACCCCTGAGTAAATGTTGGTTGAGGGCTCGTTGGTGTCCAGGTCGCTCGGAAAGATCCCAAGAGCCTCCCATACATCCTGGCGAGGTCTGGATTTGTAGAATCTTAACGGGGAGTACCCGCCGCAAATGGATGGGAAAGGACATACACTCCCTCAGACTAACAGCCCGAAGCTCCCAGAAGGCCCATCCTGTAAATGGAACCAAGTCCTCAGGAAGCTTGGAGGCGTCCATCTTAGTCTGAAGGACATAGACAAAACCCATTCGAGTCGCGTCCGGGTCCATCCAGGTCCTTGTGGCCTTGCTGAGACTCCTCAAACTGCAAGTGGAAGAAAGAGCTCTGCTTGGACAACGATCAGAACTTCCGAGGATGACGAACAAAACCTATGGTCGCGGCCAGTCCGGAGGTCTATCACTCCAGTCGCCGAAGAAATCCATGTCACGTCCCAAAGATTCTTTGCCCAGGGTTCATCAAAACCTCCAAGGGGGCCACCAGGCTGAATAAAGCCCTGAAGGCTGGGGTAGGTGGCCCAGGATCGAAGGGTTGAGTTTTCCATGGAAAGGCACGTCAAATTCTCTCAAGCCCTCACCCTTTCCCCAAAAACAGTTCAGTCGGCACAAGCGGGTTGAATCCACTTTGCGCAAACTGGGGGGGTCTTTTCCATGGACCTCAAGTCACCTCACTACTGGGCCCAGTAGAAAGGTTGAATGGACAAGGCTCGAATGCGGCAACGGCGCGGAAAGTAGGAGGCACTTCCGTTGCCTGTCCCAGCCATCCTGGGCGCCAGAACTCGACGTTTGAGTCCACCCATCCGCCGACCGTCACTGGACCCAGTTGAAAGCGACCAAAGAACGGGTCGCAAAAGCCCCGGAAAAGGATCCATTGCTCGCGTTCCATTGGTTTGTGTCTCTATGCAAGGTCGGACTAAACACCCCCAAGCGTGTCTGGCTTTAAACACGGCTTCAACGGACAAATTTCTCGCATCCAGTATTTTCTCAACACATCTTCCTCGGCCTCGAAACCCAGCTTCTCAGAGAAGTTCTCACCCCATGTTCCCGGCCGAGTGTCTAAGCTGCAGGCTTCCAAGGGAGCTTACCCGGGCCTTCCCTTTTCTGTATGCATGTGAAACCTGCACCCTGCGGCTTGGAGTCGAAGGCCTTTCTTGACCAAGCCGACGAAACGCTCACACGAGTCGAACTGCTTAGGGAAACCAAAAGGAAACCAAAAGGAAACCAAAAGGAAACCAAAAGGAAACCAAAAGGAATAAGACAAACAAAAATCTATTCGCTACACCCCTGATTGATTTTCGAGAGGTGTAAGTGGCAATCCTTGACTTTTGGTTGAGAACCTCCCCCTCATCCACCAGGGCTGTCCTCAAATCCCCTGTTCAAAGCGCATAACTTGTCCAGGCTGGAATTAGGGCCCCAGCAAAAAAAAAAACATCTACTTTGCCTGGTCAGTAGAAAACAACGGGAACCCCCCCCCCAAAAAAAAAGGAACTAAGTCTGGGGAAGACTTGTGGCTTAAAGGGAAACCTAAGGAACCAGACAGCTGGGAACCTCCAGCCGCTGAGATACACCCGGGTCGCCGGAGCGTTGCAGGTGGATTTTTTGCTTCGGAGGATGCGGAGATTTGGGGCGTCTCTTTTCTTCAGGATGTTGGCTTGAAGGGAAATCAACACAAGGGAAACCACCATCTTTTTTATATGCTGTCTTCTCTTCTTCTTCTTTGTTTGGGGGGGGGTCCGATTCCTCAAGTTGAGACAAACACATTTGCTTCAGAATGTGTATCTTCCCCCTGGCTTTTTACCGATTCTCTGACACGGCCTCCAAACCGCCCCCCAAGCCCCAAAAAGACCCACCCACCCACCCCCCTCGGCAAAAAAAAAGAGGCACAGCCCTGTATTGGTGGGAGTGGTTTGTTGATCCTGATTTATGTTTTGATACTAATTTGTGCGTTCCTTTGTTGGACAAAAGAAAAAACAAGAAGATAAAAACCATGCACAAAAAAAGACACTTCAAAACAAACAAACATTTCACAAAAGAAAGACACTTCAAAACAACAACAAAAAAACTCAAAAAAAAAAGAAACTACCCTCCCAAAACAATGGAAAAAACATACCCTCCCAAAAAGGAGAAAAAACTACCCTCCCAAAGAATGGAAAGATAGCACACCCCAAAAAACAGAAAGAGCCCTTTTTCTTGAGAAAACTCTCGCCGAGGCTTGAGCTGGCAGCTGCTGTGCAGCAGTGCCACGGAGGCCATGACCACGTCCAGGCCCAGGTTGGCCGTGAGGTAGCCCTCGTCGTTTAGTTGTTGTTTGCCTCGTTCTTTTTTTTTCCATGATCACTATTATTTTTGGTGCTGTTATTACTATTGTCATTATCAGTCTTGTTGTTGTTAATATTTGTATTGTTGTTATTACTATTAGTATTATCACTCTTACTGTTGGTATTATTAGTATCACTATTGTTATTGTTGTTGTTATTACTGTTCTCATTATCATTATTGTTGTTGTTATTATTGTTCTCATTATTATTGTTGTTGTTATTATTGTTGTGGTTATTGTCGTTACTACTATTAGTATTATCATTATTATTATTGTTGATATTATGTTCTCATTGCTATTGTTGTTGTTACTATTAGTATTATCATTATTCTTGTTGTTTCCTTATTATTGTTGTTATACTGGGCGCAAATGACTTGGGACTCATGGGGTCAAGGGGGTATATGCAATTGAGCATGTTTTCGCATGATGACTTGGGAGTAAACTGCACCCTGGTCGCAAAGACTACGAGAGTTGGGACTTGGCAAAGTTGAAACGCTTGAAAAACTGTGCGCAGAATAATGTTGCCTTTTGCCTGATGACATGGGACTTTCGAGTGATTGCAGGGGCGCTTCAATTTGCTTACAGCACATTTTCCTAGCCTTATCTATGCCTCTTTTAAAGCAGGCGCTGAACAAATTTGCCGAATCTGTTTCTTCTCTGTTTCTTCTCCGCACGACTTGGGACCTGTAGGTGGGCGAGCCTTGGGAAAGGCAAGGGCCTTACAATGTTCTTTTAACATGATGCCACCCCGCAAAAGGCTCTGTGAAGAACCCATGACACAGGACTTAATCATATTTTCAAGTGTGTAACTTGCACGCTACGGGCTTCTAGGATTGCCTCATGACTTGGGAACACTCTGGCGGGTGGGGTCGCCCACATACTCCCAAGTCATCTGCACCCAGTATATTATTTTCACTACTATCATTGTTATTGTTGTTGTTATTAGTATCATTATCATTATTGCTATTGTTGTTGTTATGAGTATTGTTGTTGTTGTTACTACTATTGGTATTATCATTTATGGCTGTGCTTATGATTATTGGTTTCACTATTGTTGTTGTTATTATTGTTCCCATTAACAGTATTACTATTTCTCGTTGTTGTTATTAGTCTTGTCATTAATATTATTGTTGTTGTGATTATTGTTATCACTATCATTAGTTTTATTGTTGTTATTATTAGTATTGTTATTGTTGCTATTACTACTACTATTATCATTCTCATTTCTGTTCCTATTAGTACCACTACATCATTATTACTATTTCTTATTTGTGTTATTATTATTGTCAGTATTTTTAGTGTTGTTGTTATCATTATTGTTGCTATAATTAGTATTGTTGTTGTTGTTATTATCATGATCGTGACTATTAGTGTTGTTGTTCTTATTAAAATGATCATTATTACTATTTCTCCTTGTGGTTATTATTATCACTAGTATTATCGTGGTTATTCATATTACCATTGTCATTATTACTATTTCTTTTTGCTGTTATTAGTATTGCCATAATTATTACTGTTGTTGTTATTACTATTTTTTGATCATTGCTATTGTGGTTATTACTATTAACATTATCATGTTTATTGTTATTTCTATTGTTGTTATTATTACCATTACCTTTATGATCATTGCTATTGTTATTAGTTTCCTGGTTATTGCTATTATCATCATTATCATTATTGTTGTTGTTATCATTATAATAATGTTGGGTTGTATTAAGATCGTTATCAGAATTAGTATTGTTGTTATAATTATTATCATTATTATTATTTCTTATGGTTGTTTTGATTATTGTCATTATTACTTCTGTTGTTGTTATCATTATTATTGTTCTCATTTTTATTATTCTTGTTATTAGTATCATTATCATTAATATGTGTTTGTTCCTCTTATTCTTAGTATTATTATTATTAGTATTTTATTGCTATTGCTATTAGTATTATCATTATTGTTGTTGTTATCACTATTATTA